CTTGGCTGGGGCTGTAAAGGGCAGCTCCTGTGGGGCGGGGGGGTGGGGGATGCTTCCACGTGGCCAGGCTCTCATTTCCGAGTCTCTTTCTTCCTTTTTATGTGTTTGCCATTCTGGTCGGGGGAGGCGGTTTCGTGTTCGACCTTGCCCAGTCTTCGGGTGGAGTGATGGAAAGAGAATGAGCTTTGGAAACACACACGTATGCATTGAACAGACGGTAAAAGCCAGCATTTACTGAGTGCTGACTGCATGCCAGCAGGTACTGAGAGTGCTCACGTCTTTTAGTGGAAACTGAGGCACAGAGCGATCATGGAGCCCGCCTAGGATCACCGTCAGCAGCCGAACCGTGGCCTGAAACCAGCAGACTTGCTCCAGGGTTCCAAGCCCTTCGTCATGCTGTTCCTCAAACACACTTGAAGACCCACTCTGTGCAGGAGCTGAGTTAGTGGGCAGATGGTCCAGGAAAGAGATAGTTGTAGGGCTGTGTGACTGGAACGGGGCAGAGAGGAGTCTGGGGTAGACATGGAACGCCAGGAGGGCTTCCAGAGGAGGTGGCCGGTAAGGTGAGGCTTAAAGTTGCGTAAGACTGAGCTGAGGACAGTGAAGTGCAAGACCAGGGAGCACCAGGTCCAGCCCTGACTCCAGGGCTCGCTGGCAGCGCGGCTCAGGTGCCTGCGCCTCTCACAGATGCCAGCCCAGCAGAACCCAACCGCGTCTTCGTGGACGGGTCAGCAGGAGATGAAGGGACAGTGGGGAGGGTGTCTGGCACATAGTAAGTGCTCAGGAAATGTCAGCGGCTCTCTTTCCCCTTCCCAGGGACAGGCAGGATACTTGCTGTGACCTGAGGATACAACCCGGTGGCCCCTGGCTGGCCCAGAGAATCTGAATTGTTTGTTTACACATAAATCAGGAGGTGCTACGCTCAACCCGAATTTCCTGCTTTTCTCGAAAACGCCTGAGATCCGATGGCTGCAGCCTGCCACCGTGGGCCGAGTGAGGAGTGGCCGTCCCCGACGGCCCTCGTGCCATCGAGCGCTCTCCGTTGGCTGTCTTTTCTGACCTGGCCCCCGGGCGTGCGCCCCTCTGGCCCTCATGGCGTTCCCGGCCCGTGTCTGCTGCGTGGCACGCGGCCACGAAGTGGCGCCCCGGGAGGCGACTGTGGGTGCGTGCGACCGGCGCCAGCTGCCTTGTGGCCGGCCGCTGGGTTCCGTGTGGATGGCGGCTGGCACTTCGCGCGAATCCCCGCCTCAGGCCCGAGCCCCGGCCCTTTGAACGCCCGCCCGCCCGCCATGCACTCCCACGAGACATCCGGATCTTTCTCCGTGACTCAGGACAGCTGGGATTTCGCATCTTTGAAGTACTTCTCTTCCTGGCAAACGGACCGGTACTTTAAAAACCAAAACATTCCTGGGATTCATGGAAAGCCACTCAGCTGGCCGAGGGGGGTCCTTGGGGAGAAGCTGTGGTTCCAGAGGAGCCCCCCCTCACCGCCTGCGACTGACCCGCAGAAGATGAGAATCAGGTTTAGATGGAAAGCTCCTCAGCCGAGTGCCCCCCCCGAGAACCCTGGCTGTGGAAGGCGGCCAGGTCCCGAAGAGGCATCGGTCTGTGAACCCGCTTGTGGTTCGGCATTCACATGGTCTCCACGTTCGGTTTTCAGAATTCGGCTCTGACAGGTCACCCGTGTGCTTTGCGCAGAGTCCCAAAGTCGCTTCTCTGGATTCTTGGCATCTTTCAAGGCCTCGCTCACTTGCTGCCTCCTCCAGGAAGCCTTCCATGGTTCTCCCTGGGATAAGGGGCCTCACCTTCCTCTTCACTCATTTCTCCATCGGCACTCCTCTCGGAGCCCCTATTGACCTGCACCCGTCCCTGTCCCCTGTCACAGCGCTTACACGCTGAACCAGGAGCTGAGTGCTCTCAGTCCCACTTATTCCTCAGAACCCCCCTGGAGGCAGGCACCGCTGCCACCCCCACGTTACAGATGGGGAAACTGAGGCTCGGCAAGGCTAGGGGACTTGCTCCAAGCCCCACCCCAGCATGTGGCAAAGCGCGATTTGAGCCTGGGGCTCTGTGACCCCAGACCCAGGCCCCTCACAGCTGGAGCTGGCCCTGTGGTCTGCGGGGGGCCCCCTCCTCCTGGCTCGGGGGCCCTGCTGAGCTCGGGGCTTCCTGCACGGCCAGCCGCTCGGGACACACCGTGCAACCAGCGCTGGGCAGGGCCTTGAGCGCGTCTCTCATTCTTTAAGGTCAGGAAACCACGGGCCCTGTTTCGTGTTATCTTTGATGTTCAAGGGCGGTGTGGAAATCGCTCTGTTTTCATGTGACCCAATTTCTGGGCTTTGAAAATGCCGGTTCCCTTCTCCCTCCCCTCGCTCTCTGCCCGGGAGCATTTTTTCCTGTCCCCCTCTGCCCCCCGCCGCCAGTCCCATGTCCACATGAGCAGGCAAACCGTGCGGCAGCTGGGGCTTTCCGAGAGAGGAGTGGGGGGCTTGTGGCAACAACTCGCCGGCGCCCCGAAGCCCACCTGTGCAGCTCTGTGCTTATGTAACACCGGCATCTTTTGTTCCTCTCTGGCTGCAAACGCCGCCCTCATGGCTGACCTCGACTGGAAGGGCCCCCCGGCCCTTCGGGGCCCTCTCTGTGACATTGGCTCAGGAAATGGGACCGGGGCGCCCAGGGCTTCTTTTGGTGCCCGTTTCACCAAGCCACATGCCCGCCTTTGTACACGCGAGGACTTTGTGGAGAAGGCTTTTCCTCCTTCCCTTCCTGTCTTCAAAAACTCTTTTCTGGTTAAGTACTTTGTATGTCATTCTGCAGTAAAAATGACCGGTGAAACTTGGTCTCTGTTTTCTAACGTAGCCCGGGTGAGCCGCGGGGATCTCCAGAGTCCTTCCAGGGGAGGGAGGCAGAGGGGGTCTCGCCAGTGAACTTGCTCGCCGTTTCCCCGTGAAGGTGCGGTGCGCTGGCTGCTTCTCGCTCGAGTCCAGCCTGCGTTCTCGGGACGGTCCGGAGGCTAAGACGGGGCACCCGCCACCCACTGCAGGCCTGGCTTCCAGACCAGAGTGCTGTGGCGAGGGTCCCGTTCTTTTTTCCTTTCCTTTCCTTTCCTTTCCTTTCCTTTCCTTTCCTCTCCTCTCCTCTCCTCTCCTTTCCTTTCCTTTCCTCTTTCTTTTTTCTTTTTCTTGTGTTAAAATATACGTAACATAACATTTGCCATTTTACCTGTTTTAAGGGCACGCAGCCTGGGGCCTCAGGCCGGATCACCTTCTGCGACCATCCCCACCGTCCGTCTCCAGAGCTCTCCCCTGTCCCCAAGCTGACACCCTGTGCCCGGGAAACTGCAGCCTCTCTCCTGCCCCCGCCCCGCCTCCCCATCTGCCTCCGTGCATGTGGCTCCTCCGGGGAACTCCTATCTGTGGGCTCAGCCAGGGTTTGTCCTTTCACATCTGGCTCCTTTCATGCTCCTTCTGAGCATGGCGTCCTCAGGCTTCCCGGGGCTGTAGCACGTGTCCGCGTTGCCTTTGTTTTTTAGGGTGAATCGTATCCACTGTGCGGACAGACTGCACAGTGTTGACCTGTCACCTGTCAGCAGCCACTCAGGCTGAGCCCGCCTTTTGGCCCCCGTGAACGGTGCTGCTAGGAGCCGGGTGTGCTTTGGAAACAGCCCGGTATCAGGGCCTTCACTGACGTCAGAAGCCAGTGTCCTGGGGCCCCGCTGCTGCGGTCCTTGCGAGGGGCGGAGGGCGGGTCGTCCCCAGAGCTGGGTCTGCAGCTGAGTCCCGAGAGGCCCCCGTGTGCCCGGCTCCGGGCGTGGGGCCAGGCCAGGCTCCCGGTCTCACCCAGCCCCCAGGGGCCTGACACTTGAGGTGACTGGGACCTGCTGGTGGCACCACCAGACGGTGCGACCTCCGTGGCCTGCCTGTCCCCGGGCTGCCGTGCTGCGTGCCCTTGCTCCTCCATCGCCTGTCGCTTCCAGTGCCCAGGTCGGAGGTGCAAAAGGCTCGAGGTGACTGGGTTGAAAGAGGAAATAGGTTTTCACCTCTAAGGACGTCGGTCAAAGAGGGGAAGGCCTGGGCACGTGGCACCGGCCACCGCCAATGGACCGGGCTGGCATTGTGGCGTGTGCTCGGGGACCATGAAGGGCGGCCGGGGCCCAGGCCTCATCCCTCACCTGGCGAACCTGACCTTGGGGCCGAAGCTGGAGCCTCAGCAGCAGCGGGGGCTGGGAGTCACAGGCATGGTCGACGAAGAAACACTGCGTCAGAGGCGAGAGTGTGAGCGCCCCATGTGCTGGGGGCGCCCCGGTGGGTGTGGTTTCTGGCGTGTTCCCAAGGGCTCTCCAGTGCGGGGAGCGAAGGAGCCTTTCCGCCGCCGCGGGATCCACGCTGCGCTTCGCGTGGCCCCCCGGGCCCTGCGGACCCCGACGCGCACAGCACCGCGCTCTCTGGACAGGAGGCCGTGGCGCCTCTGGCTCGAAGCCTCTGTTGCATGTTCTTTGCTCCCGACCCCGGGTGGCACCTGTCACCAGGCCCTGAACGTGGCCTTGACAATGGTGTTGCTTTCAGCTCTGGACTTGCCTGGGCACGTGTCGGGAGGGGCCTTCACAGCTGGGGTCCCAGGCGTGGAACACAGCTCTCCAGGGAGGCAGGGGAGCCCTGCCTTCTCGTGCCCTGTCGCTTGGACCCGAGCGGCCTTGGGCAGATCAGGGAGCATCCAGAAGCTTCTGTGTCTTAGTCACGTATCCCGAAGAGCAGTGAAAACAGACTGGCAGGGCTTGGCCGGGACGGGGACGTATTTGGCAAGGGGGAAGGATTGCAGAACATATTCTCAGTTCGGATCATTTTTCCTCAGACTTTTTCTGGGCAACAAGCCATTTATGAATGTTTGTTAAATGCTTACAAAAATGGGAGTTGATTTCTCTTTGTTTGCACTGCCAGCGCGGGAAGCCAGGGCATTCTGTTGACACTAACTGTTTTCCTCTTTCTCCTTCTGCTTGACAGTGAGTGACCTGCAGGAAGAAGGCAAAAATGCCATCAACTCGCCGATGTCCCCTGCCTCGGTGGACCTTCACCCTGAGGACACCCTGCTAGGTACGGGGGCTCCACCACTCCCTGCCCTGACACAGCTCAGCTGTGCAGCGTGCGGACGGGCAGGGCTCGGTGAGGCTGGAGAAGCCTGCGGTCACGGCCTCAGGATCTGACATCACACTGGGAGCCACTGGAGAGTCTGGGCTCTTAGCTCAAGGGCATTTTAGAAAAGTGGGCAGGAAAAAGCAAGTAGATTTCTCTCTCTGCCTAAACTCATACGTTTTATTATTGTTGAGGCCCGATGAGGCCGGCAGGTCAGGAGAGACCTGCCACAGGATGGATGGGGGACAGCCACCATTGCCAAGGAGGAGGGGCCGTGCCGGGCGGGGGAGGGGCACACGGGGAGGCGCCGGGAGGGAGGCGCAGGCTGGAGCCTTTCTGGTGGAGGGAGTGGGTGAGGCGGGGCACGCAGGCCCGGGGTGGCAGACAGGAGTGCCTGCAGCGGGCCAGGAGGCCCAGGAGCTCCGCTGGGCTGTTTGCGCCTGGCCCCGCGGTGACTGGGGAGGTGCCGTCGCCTGGGAGTGTGCATCCCGGTAACAGAGGTGGCCAGGGGTGCGCCCTTGTGGGCTGGCTTGGGAACAGCCGGCACGGGACAGCGGCTGCCTGCCTTGGGGATTCGCTGGCCCCGGGAGGGGTGGGCTCTCTGGTCCACAAGGCCCCAAATGTGAATGCATGAGAAAATAGGACACATGAGGGACACACCCCCGCCACCACCCCATCTCCGTGCAAGGGGGAGCTGTCCCAGGCCCGGGTGGGACCTGCCCAGGGTGCCCACGTCCTTGGGACCGCATCACGGTCCGGGGCTCACAGGCGCCAGCCCGCACGCGCTTTCCCTGACGCGCGTGTTGGATCTGATCAACCTGGAAGGCCGGGGCGGAACATTCCGTTGATTTCCAAACCGGGTTCAAAGGGAAGTCCCGGAGGATCCCTCTGTTGTGGTTTCCACGGTGAGGCCCGGCCAGCGGGAGCGTGTGGGAATGCAGACGCACGCTCAGGCTGGCCGCGGACCCGCGGCGGGTGCTGAGGGTCCTCCCTCTCCTCCTGGAAGAGCGTGGCTCTTCATTGTTGCCGTGGCTGATGGTCTTCCGCCCGGCGGACGCCGCTGGGTGACTGTCCCGGAGGAGGCTGAGGATCAGCTGTGGGCCTGGAGCTCAGCCCGGGTTCGAGCAGGCCTCTCCGCCTCGGCGTGGGGCGCCGCTCGGCACCCGCGGCCTCTGTCCTCTGGACGCCAGTGACACCCCTCCCCCCTCCAGTTGGGACCACCAAAAACGCCTCCAGACATTGCCATCCTGGGGCGGGGACTCAGTCACTCCTGGCCGAGAACCCAGCTTTAGACCAACAGGGGCAGAAAACGGATTTGTCCCCAGTGTGCGACAGGCTGTTGCTTCGTCAGTGCTACCTGGAACCTGCCTGTCCCTGGGCCGTAACCCTCCCGGTCTCGCCGTCTCTCTAACTAGCTGTCCTGGGGCCTGGGCGTTGGCGTTCTCCAGGGGCTGCGTGGGGCCCCGTGGCCCCTGCGGCTCAGGCAGCCCCTGGAGCTGAGCCCTGAGGGGTGAAGGCAGGCGGAGTGTGGGAGCGGTGGCAGGCGGGGCACAGCACGTGCGGGGCCCCGTGGCAGGCGGCGGCGAGGCCTGCTGAGGCCGCGGAAGCCGCACGGAGGGGGCCAGCCTTCATCCCTGGAGAAGCGGGAGGCGGCTGAGGGCCTTGGCAGCGACGTCACCTGGGCCCCCTCGTGTCCCCTGTGTGGCCTGCAGCGTCCCTCTCAAGCATCAGGTCTGCACGTCCCCCAAAATAGTTTCTCTGCTTGGTCGGGTTTTTTGGTTGGCTGCTGGGAAACCGTTGTCGCTCGAAGTCATTTCATTCCCACCCACAGGGACAGGGTTCCCCGCTCTGTAGAAGTCGGTCTGGGGCTGGGACCCCGGCCGCCACCGCTTCTGGGTCCTCTGCACCCGCGTGTCGGGGCCCAGCCGCGCCTGCAGCCCCCGCCCCCGCCCCCGCCCCCGCCCCCGCCCCGTGCCTCCTTCATGCCCACGGTCAGTCCGCTCTGTGTCACGTGGTCCCCTCCCTCCTCACCTCGGCACTCGTCCTACAGAGGTCCCCTGGTGTCCCTGGGCCAAGGCCAGGACACGAAGGGAAAGACAGACAAGCGGACAAATAAGCAGAAGAAGGACGAACACACTTTTTTGCTGAAAACATCTTTTTTTACTCCTTGTTTTGCTTTTTTCTCCTCATATTTTTTGTCCTGTCCTATTTCAGTGGCGGTGAGCTTTCCCAGTGTGTGTTGGCTCAGTGGCTTTCCCCACAGATCTGCTCCGGCCCGAGTGCGCGGCCGCCTCGCCCGGGGCCTCTCCCGCACGACGGCGCAGCCAGGGAGGGGCGAGGCCGGCGAGCGAGGGGTAACTGTGCCCCCTTCTGGGACAGGCAAAGGTGCAAGGGTGCCACCGTCCACCTTCCGAGGGGCAGCCCCGCACTCGGCCACCGGCCCTGGGCTGTCACTCCATGTGCGGCTATCATGACTCGTCCTCCCTGAGAAGACACGGGGACCCTCCACCCCCAGCCACCTCCGCCATTTGTGCTCAGCGGCCCCCATGCACCAGCCCTGCCGCTGCCGCTGACCCTGACCCCCTTGTCCCCCGCAGAGGAGAACGAGGAACGCACGATGATCGACCCCAACTCCAAGGACGACCCCAAGTTCAAGGAGCTGGTCAAGGTAAGGAGGGGCGGCTCGGTTGGAATGTCCCTGTTGGGGCGAAGCTTTGGCGGCCCCGGCTCTTGTGAGAAAGGAGCCTCCCTGCCGCATATTAGGTAAAGGGACGGGCATGTAGGCGAGGAGGCGGAGGAGAGGGAGGGGCCCAGGTCACAGCGTGGACGCCTCCCAGGCACCCAGCTTCACCCGGGCCTTAACAGCCACAGGCTTACGCTCCGCGCGGGGCCAGAGGAGCAGCCAGGTAGACCCTCACGGCTCCGTGCACGTGGGTCTCAGGCTCCTTCCGGAGCGCGGCGGTATGGTTCAGAGGTAGCTGAGCCTGCCCAGGCACCAGCTGCTCCCCGCAAGGACATCTGATGCCGACACCCCTGCTCGGGCAGAGGTCGGCTTCTGCAGCGTCTGGAAGCGCAGAATCCAGTTGGACGGGGAGAAGGCCGCGTTGTTCCCCGAGGTCACAGAGGCGAGGCCAGGAGGGCTGCTGCCTCTGAGCTTCCTGGTGGCTTTTCTCTGCCTGGTGTGGCTTCCCGGCCGCAGCTTAGCGACGAGGATTTGTTTGTGGCATTTGCCTTGCACAGATGGCAGGTTGGATCACTCTGACCGGAGCCACAGCCGGGCTCCGGAGGTCATCCCGGCGAGCAGAGGCTCTGGGCGCCACCAGCGGCCGCCGCCTGCTCCGCCAGCGCCGGGTCCGGGCAGGCAGCCACGGAAGTCGTTTTCTGCTGCAGCCCCCAGCCGGCTCCGGCGACCGGGGGCTTGGGATAGGGCGGTGCACTTCGCAGACAGACGCACGCTGTTTGAAGTGCCTTTTAAAAGCTTTCTTCCCTGTGCTGCTGCTGTGAGTTCATGGGGGCTGATACAGGGTGAAGGAGACCTTGGCGCGGTGTGTCCTTTAAAATCTGAGATGGAACATGTCAGTTTGGGGACCCACCCCGAAATGTTGATTCCTAGTTTATTTTATTAAGATTATTTCCCCTTGAATCCTAGCTTGTTATTCTGAACAACTTGAGTGTCGGTGAGGAAAGTGGCCAGTCTCTTGGCCACTAGAATGTCAGTCACGGGACACTGACACGCTATGTCTTGGGGTCTCCAGGGAGACAGACCCAATGGGTATGGATGACTCTGTCTGCCTGCCTGTCTAGAGACAGAGGGTTACTGTAAGGGACTGGCTCACGTGGTCTCTGAGGCTGAGACGTCCCATGATCTGCTCTCTGCCGGCCGGGGCCCCCGACGTCCAGTGGTGCCCTGCGAAGGCCAGGGAGCTGAGGACATGGGAGCGACGCCCCAGCGCCACAGCCCGGCAGAGAGGGAAGACCCATCCCCCGCCGCTGTTCGTCCTACCGGGCCGTCAGTGGATGGCGTGACGTCCCCACGACGACCCACAGGTTGGGTAACTCGAGGGATGCACAGTCCCCAGTACCCAGGGATATTCACGGGTGCGGTTTATCTCGGTGAGGGTCGGGGTTAGGATCGGCTGGGGGAGGCATGCGGCACAGGGCCCAGGCGCGCGCCCTGACTTCCCGGGGCGTCGTGGACAGCATCGCCAGCCAGGGACGCCTCCTCGGAACGCCCCGCTGCCCGGAACCCTCGCATGCTCCCCGTCGGTGTGGGCCCCCCGCTCTGGAATGGGGCCCCCATGCAGCCGCGGCTGCCAGCGCTTTGCTCCCCGCTCGCCGTGGGTGCCCGGCGGCGTGCCCGCCTGCAGGGGCCGACTCGGACGTGCTGGAGGCGGGTGACGGAGTGAGGGAATGGGGGGGTTGGCAGTGCTGCTGTGAGGCTGCGTGTCGGGACCACCGAGCGGGGGCGGAGCTTAAGGCAGGGTGGGTGGGTCCCCGAGCCTCACCACAGACCTGCAGCGCCCGAATCTCGGGAGGGGGCGCTCTGGGAGGAGCGTGGGCCAGGGCCGGGGCCCGATGCAGGGGGTCCCAGGAGCACCCCCAGGGAAGCAGCCATGGTGGTTCAGACCAGACACTGCCCCTCCCCGCCCCCACCCCTGTGCGGTTCTTACTGCCTTTTAGGACACCCTGCGCCGTAGATGGACCATCCAAGCTCCTGGCTGGGCAGGTCTGAGGAGGCCCGCGCCAGGCCGCCTCCCAGGGGTTCTTTGCAGGGATTTGGCTCAGAAATGGTGGCTTTCGGTGCAGGATGTGGGCTGCGTGCAGGCCGGGGCGGCTCAGGGCGAGGCATGCGTGACATCCTGACCGCTGGCCACGTCCCAGTCTTGGGGCTGGTGGGACGTTTCCGAAGAAGCTTGGCCAGTCCCCCGCTTCCTTTCCCTGTTCTCTGCCATCGCAACATTTTCACCCCCGGCCTCGGCCCTGTCCTGCCTCCTTCTGTAGACTCGCGCCGCTCACCCCGTGGCCTCCACTTGGTCCCTGTGTCCAGTGCTGTCGGCAGCCCTCGCTTCCTATAAAGAAACCCTGGCTCCGGGTTCAGGCAATAAGTCTGCCCGGGCACCTGCCACATGAGATGCAGGTTATGGGGTGCGGGGTGCACTGGGCCCTGGAGCCTGGCTTCCTAGAGTGAAAGACCAGCTCGGGTTACGGTGAGAGAGCCGACCAGCCCGCCTCTCGGCGTTGCCGGTGGCTCACGCAGGATCGCTCACACGCCCCGACGCTGTGACCGCACGCCCCGACGCTGTGACCCCGGGGCAGGCCCCGTGCCAGGTGCTGGTGTGAGCAGGAGCAGGGAGTGAGCAGGCAGGGGTGCCGGACGGAGCTAGACGTGGCGCCGTGGACTGCGGGTTCAGGAGCCCCAAAGCCTCGCCCTGCCGTCTCCTCGGCTGGTGTTCGGTGCTGCGGGCCTTTTCTGTGGCCTCCTGCTTGCAAGCAAACAGCTGTGCCTCCAGGGTGGGAGTGGTTTACAAATGAGGCACTTTATGTCCTTAACGATCTCTGAAAGGCAGACGTCAGGCCTCACACTTCCCGGAAGGAACATCACTGCGCCTGGAGCAGGCGGCCGCGTGCCCCTGGGGTCCGCTCTCCTCCCTGCAGCTTTCCTGTCTTAGTCCCGTTAATCGGATGAGACTCCTGGCTGCTAAGCTCTGTTTCTGTCCTCCCTTTGTCCCTGTGGAGACAATCAGCTGCGTCCAAGTGCTCCTCTGGCTGAAGACAGTGCCCTGGGGCCGCGGGAGACGCTGGGGCGCGTTCTGGTGCTCCACCCGCCGCCTCCGTGGGCGCGGCCGCGCCAAGCCGAGGTGTTTGGAAGTGATTGAAACATAACTGTCATCCTTTGGGGGAGGCAGGCTGCAGATCCTGATTAGCATTCAGAGGGATGTAAAGGAGAGTGATCTTTTATTCTGGTTTAAGCAAGCTCGTAAAACACCCCCGTGAAGGGGCCGGGGCCAAGAGACATCGTTAAGATGCGACCTAGACACGTGGCCCACGGGATCTGGGGCTTCACATGGGCGGCCCCGAGGCCCGGAAAGGCTGCAAAGCAGGATGAAGACGCTGAGCCGGGCCGTGCAGGGTGCCGTCTACCAGAAGGTCGCGCCTCCCCAGGGCGGGGGGAGGGGGTTGGCAGACCGGAGCTGCGTTTGCTTCTCACAGCGGAGCGACCCCCTGGCCTGTCTCGTGGTGTGCCATTTTCATCCCGGCGGGCCGTGGTTTTCGTGGTGGGCTTTGACCGGGCGAGAGACCACGATGGAACTTTGGAAGCTCCAGTTTCTCCTCCGCAGAAACACCGTCCGTCCCGCGTCCCCAGACGACCGCCCCCTGGGGCGAGGCGGCCTCCGAGCCAAACGCCTGTGTGCCCTGGGGACCTCGCTAGGTCTGCAGGCAGCTCTGCGGCTTGTCTGGGCACCGTCCACGGGCCGGTCCCCGGTTTGCCGCTGGGGATGTGGCGCGAGCAGAAGAGCGGCGGGGGCTGCCCTGACCCGTGGCTATAAACAAACCCCGGCTCCGGGGTCGGTGCGCCTGTCAGCGCCCCCGCACAGCCCCCGGCCTTGTGTGCTTCGCAGCGTCGATCACAGCCCGAAAGGGTGTCTTCTTGTCTTTAACGTCTGATTAGAAAGTCAGGGCCTCCTGGACAGGGACCCCTCTGTCTTTTTATTTCTTGAGCCTGGCACACAGTCGGTGAGCGGCCAGTGAAATAATTAACTCAGTTCCTGCAGTGAGCGCTGGGTGCTGGGGACAGAGCCCAGGGGACCATCGCAAACAAAGCCGTGTGGGTGTCGCATATGCAAACAGGGGCACGGGGAGGCACTTGGGTGTGGTGGGGCGCATGGCCCGGAGAGTGGGAAGGTCAGGGAATGATGCAGAAGCTTGAGACCTGGAGGATGAGGGGGAGCCGGCCAGGCAGTTGGGGGGCGCATACATGGTCAGGGTGGAGGAGCAGCAGGTGCAAAGGCCCCGAGGCAGAGATGAGCCGGAGGTATCTGGGGATGAGTGAGGAGGAGGAAGGTGCTCAGTTAGGGCTGGGGCATTGGTCCGGCGGGGTGGTTTGCACAAGGGTGGGGGAGAGGAGGTGGTGAGATGTGGACCCAGTTAAGGGGTGGGCAGAAGTGGGGTGTGGGGGTGGAGTCCAGGTTCCTGGAACTGGTGCGGATGTCTGTTTCCCACCAGTTGGTCCGAAGGTGAGGCTTGGGGGATTCTGGGCAGGGAAAGGAGGGAGAAAGAGAGGGAAGGAGACATCGATGGGAGAGAGACTGATCAATCTCGTACGCCCTCAGAGGCGGCCAAACCTGCAACGCAGGCACGCGCCCTGATCAGGAGTCCAATCGGTGACCTTTCGGTTCTGAGGCCAGTGCTCGACACACGGAGCCACACCGGCCAGGGCAGGACCATGCCTTTCAAGATCAGGAGGAGAAGGAGGTGACAAGGGGGACACCCCCACCCCCGCAAGGCAACCGGAAGCGTGTCAGAGAGGAGGGCAGAAGCCAGGAGGGGAGGCAGCTTGGCTGGGAGCTGATGGCACCCACCACTGGCCAGCACCCTGTCCCAGTGTCCCCACGCCGCCTGGTCCCTGGGGAGGGAGATGGAGGAGGCTGAGCCGGGGAGCGGCTGATTTTCCCAGGCTGGCTTTCACAGGACCGGAATGCCCCGGGCTGTCCTGAACCGCTCTGTAATTTACTTTTGCTTCTATTCTTCAGGGGATTGTGTGCCTGATTTAATAAATTTGAGTTAGTGGGAAAACAGAATATACCTCACAGGAGCTTGGTCTGTGGCCAGCTTTGCAGGTTGCATGTTTCAAAGCGTGACAGAGAACGGATTCGAGCCCTTTTGTTCGCCCCTGAGAGTGGCAATAAACGGCCATTTCCAAGAGGTTATGGGCGCCCATGAGTAGTTTTATTAGTTTTGCACCGGAAAACCGTGGACGGCGTCCGTTTTTGACCAAGTCCGTTCCGGTGCGCATTGTGTTTTGTGGGGAAGTGACTTAGGCAGCGCTGGCCGGAGGGAATCGCTCTCAGGGGAGTCCCAGCTCTCCGCGGAGAGTTCCACCGGCGAAGCCGTCTTTGTTCACAAAACACCGCCCGTGAACGCACTGGAAAAGCTGCGGGGCCAAGGCTGGAGGGGACGTCCCGGCTGGCCCGAGGGCGGGCACGCATTCAGAGCAGCGCTGTCCACGCCGGCCATGAAGTGGGCACAGCCCCCACTGATGAACGGATCGAGCACATGTGTGTGTGTGTTTTTAAAGATTTTATTTATTTATTTTTACAAAGGGGGCAAGGGAGGGAGAGAGGGAGAGAGACATTGAATCCGTTGCCTCTTGAGCGTCTCCTGCCAGGGACCTGACAGACAACCCAGGCGTGTGCCGGGACCGGGAATCGAACCAGTGACTCTTTGGCTGGCACGCTGATGCTCAGTCCACTGAGCCACACCAGCCAGGGCTCAAATGTGTGTATTTATACCCTGGAGTATGATTCACCCAGAGGAAGGAGTGAAACACTGACATACCCTGCGTTGTGGATGAACCCCGAAGCCATCACACCAAGCGAAAGAAGCCAGGCACAGACGGCCATGTATTCCTGATTCCATTCATGAGAAGCATCCAGAGCAGGCAAATCTGTACCCAGGGAGCAGAGCTTCGCGGTTGGAAGGAACCGGGGCGGGGGGCGGGGCAGGGAAATGGGGCGTGGCTATTAATGGGTACAGGGTTTCATCCGGGGGCGATAGAGATGCTCTTCCGGGGATCATGGTGATGGTTGCACAGCTTGGTGAGGCTGTTAAACCCACGGGACCACACACATCAGGCGCACAAACTGTGCGGTGATTGAATTCTCTCTCCACAAAGTGACTGGGAAGAGTCGGAGCTGGGAGCCGGCGGGAGTGGACCCTTGGGGGCCCCCTTGCCGCTACCGCTTTAGGCTCAGTGCGATCTGGGGCTGTTTTGGGGGCAGAGGTTTCATGGCCGGCCTGTCCTGCCTCGGGCGAGGCGGGGCCATGCTACCATCACTCACTCATTCGACCCCCCGCCCCCCACGCGTGGTGAGCGGGTGCCGTCATTTCCCCGGGTTCCCCTGGGAGGAGGCCCCACCTGGGAGGTAACGGTCCTCTGCCGGGTTCTCGCGCGTTCCCGCGGGGGGCCTTGGCACCCGGGCTGGCTCAGCCCCCTCCGGCCCCCCGTCGGCTGGGAGAAGTCTGCCTTCCCCGCCCTGGCTTGCCCGGGCCCTGTGCCACGGGCGCCTGGGTGTCCGGCTGCTCTCGGTTCCTGCGCCCGCCCCGGCTGCAGCCGTGGCCCGCGTGGCCCACTGAGCGTGGCCTGCTGAGCGTGGCCGACGCCTGCCCCCCAGGTCCTCATCGACTGGGTCAATGACGTGCTGGTGGAGGAGCGGATCATTGTCAAGCAGCTGGAGGAGGACCTCTACGACGGCCAGGTGCTGCAGAAGCTCTTGGGTGAGTCTGCGGGAAGGGCGCCCCCACCCCGGCACCTGCCCAGGGCCACTCTGAGGCCGGATCACACGGTTCTCCACGCGGTGGCACGGGCCACACGGCCTGAGAGTAGCCTCGAAGCCTCCGCGCTGAGCCCACAGCTCCCAGCTGGCGTCCCCGGGACCCTGGGCTCAGGCCGCCGGTCCTCTCGTGTTTCCCCTGGGGGGTGTCCCACCAGAGCTCCCTGGCCGTGGGGCGGCAGCTGGTCGTGTGCAGCTTCCGGGACTATCCGCGCCTTCTGTGCTGCCGGGTACGCTCACCCAAGGGCAGCGCGGGCGGGGGTGCGCGGGGGGCACCGCCTCCCCCAGGCCAGCCCTCCCTGCCGCCCTGCGCCCGTCCACGTGCCCCGCCAGCCCCTCACACCTGGGCAGCCCTTCAGGCTGGAAGTGCAGGCGTGGCCAGGTCCCCAGAGGAGACTTTGTGCGTGGGCCCTACCCCTGAGGGGTGTGGCTTGCGGGGGGAGAGGGAGCAGTGGAGACTGTCTGCAGACAGCCCTGTCTGTGCCATCAACCAAGGACAGTCAGCCCTACGCTGAGCTGACGCACACGGAGCAGTTGGCACCAGGTGGGACCACCTGGGCTGCAGATGGGCGGGTCCGTGTTTTCTCCAAAATTATAACAGAGGGTGGCTGGGGGGTGGGGGGGGCGGGGAGGCGAGTACAAGCACAGGCACGTGCTGGGGACACTGAGTCAGGGACCAGGGGCTCGGGGGCCTGGGGTCAGAGGAGAGGTGGGGGGTTTGGAGACCAAGGCAGATGGGAGGGGCCTGGGGTGGGGACTCTGGGACCACAGGGCACAGACCTGCAGCTTCAGAGGTGCGGCCCTGCTGCCTGGGCTCAGCCCCTCGCCCCTGGGGCCCTGCGTGGCCGTGGCCCTCCCAGCGGGGTTTGCCCGCTCAGCACGTGGCTCCTGCAGACCAGCCCACCTTGGAGGGCAACCTGCTGGGGCCGTGGGGAGGGGAACCGCATCCCGTCGCTCACGCCAGAGGACACGGTGACCGGGGGCCACACGTGGTTTTGTCCTTAGCCAATGCTCAAACTGCATTCGGAGGGAAAATGTTTCCCATTCGTTCTGGTCATTCCTTCTTTCGTTGGACGAGGCTTCGTCAGCCTGGGCTGTGGCGGGCGGGACCCCCCCCAGACGCAGGGGTCGCAGGAGCCCTTGCCCCACCCCTCCCCCACTCTGGCCGAGGGAAGAAGGGGGCAGGTTTGGGGTGGGTCAGTGAAGACAAATAGGTGCCTGAAGAGCTGGGCCGGCGCCGGGGTAGGGGGGGGCGGGGGCGGATGCCAGAGGGCGTCGGGGGAGGGCACAGGTGCCCGGACCCTTACACCCTGCACCGTGGTATCCCCGTGGCCGGGGAGCCAGGGTGGGCCACGGGCAGCTGGGGGCAGGGGCCACACGCCAGGCCGCTCTCACCTTCTCGTCGGCATGCTCACCCCGCCCCCTCCCTGCCGGCTGCACCGGGGGTCGTTCTGTCCCTCTTCCATGCGCAGAATGGGATGCCCCCCGTTCCACCCTCACACCCCCACCCCCTCTCCATTCTGGAGCATGAATGGTGTGAAATTTGGAGTCCTGTGGCCGATCACCCCCACCCCGCTCTGCCGCTGGCGGTCCGCTCCGCCTCGGGACCTTACTGCAGCCAGCGGACCCGGCGGCCCGGAGCCCCCAGCTTTGCCTGACCCTCTGCCCTTTGCTCTCGTCCTCCTCCGTGTAGAAAAACTGGCCGGCTGCAGGCTGAACGTGGCCGAGGTCACGCAGTCGGAGATCGGGCAGAAGCAGAAGCTGCACACGGTGCTGGAGGCCGTGCGCGACCTGCTGCGGCCGCACGGCTGGGCGCCCCAGTGGACCGTGGACGGTGAGCGGCGGCGGGGGTGGGGGTCCTCGCGGCTCTCCCCGCGGCCACTTGTCACCGAGTCTAGCCTTGCATTGAAAAAACCCGGTCCCTCTCCTGCTCTGTGACCGGCAGCTAGGAGGGCGAAAACCTGTGTCCCTGCTCCCAGGAGCGCACAGTTGAGGCGTCAGGCACAGCCACCGTCCTCGGTCCCCATTGCCTCGAACCTCAGAGTAGAGTGGAGTTGGTTTTGGTTGGGTTCATCAGAGAGACTTCAGAGGATGGATGGGAATTCAGCCGATAAGACAGAAGCCGTGTGGGGTTCTCGTGAGGGGCGCACCCCAGGCACCAGAGGGGGCCTGTACGACGCCCCACCAGAGCGGGTGTGTGGTGGGCGGGCTCCGCCGGCCCCTGGGCTGTGGCTCGGAGTGCGCCGGCATATATCCCACCGAGGCATGACCTGGGAAGGTGAAGAACTAAACCAAGGAAACTGGGGAGTCTTTTCCTGGCTTCCCATCTGCTCCAGCCCAACCTCCATGCAGGGCAGCCAGGTGTGGCTTCAAAGCGCTCCCCTGTGGTTGCGGCGACGTCTGTCCCTGGTTCCTTGGCATCAAGACCCTGGACAGACCCAAGCTGACCCCCTGGGTGGAAGAGCTGTGTGGGTGGGGAATCGCGTGCTTTGTAAACTGTGAAGCCCTGTGCAGAGTGGAGAGGATAGGCGCACCTGGTCCCTGTCCTGGAAAGCAGGTAGCAGAGCCGGTGAAGGCCCTGGGGCCCGGGGGGCGGGGCGGGGCGGGGGTCACATCTCACATTCCCCAGAGCAGCGTTGCCCTTCCCGGGCTCCCCGTGAGGCAACGGCCGATTGCATAGGGAGAGACTTTTTTAAGGCCCGAGGTAATCACGCACGTTATGGCCCTTACGTGCCAGGATAACGTGTTTCTCCCCATCTTCTCCCTTCTCCGAGCCCACTGTACTCTCCTGCCTGTTTCTTCCTCTCCCCGCCCAGTTTTCTCCCATTAAAGGGCACCAGGCTTTTAAAAGTGGTCACACCGGTCGCTTTAGCTAACAGGACAGAACAAAATTAGGAGCTAAAACCACGTGCTCTTAGGATGCTCGGTGGCACACGCCACCTCTCCGTGGCCCATGGTTTTTCCCGTGGCTCTCCTCCCGGGCCTTGTTGACACATGCAGCGTCTTTCCTGCCTCTCGGACGGGGCCTCAGGGCTCCTGTACGAGCCGCATCTCTTCCTTCCCTCCCCCCACCAGCAATTCATGGGAAGAACCTGGTGGCCATCCTCCACCTCCTCGTGTCCCTGGCCACACACTTCCGGGCGCCGATCCGCCTCCCCGAACATGTCTCCGTGCAAGTGGTGGTCGTGCGGGTGAGTATCAATCACTGGCCGAGCCGCTAGCTTGCCCACGATGCGGCCGCAGAGCCACCTGGACTTTTTCCGCCTGTATTTTTCCTACTTTCTCCCCTCCCTTCCCCCCGCAAGAGGCTACCTTCTCTTTATCCCTCTTGACAAAATGTCTGTTTTGGCCCGACTTGGAGATCAGTGATTGCAGCAGGAACAATGGCATTGATTTGAAGACGCAGCTTCAAAGGCAGGGGAGTGTTGAGGTTTGATTTTCCACATTTTGAAGAGGAACATTCCTTTCTCTGCAACGCCAAGCTGTGGGAACGCAGCCCTCTCGAGCAAGCTCCCGGCTCGCTGGCGACAGATGAGACCAGCGTGTGAAACAGATACCCCAATTAAGGCTGGCGCGTCTGTTCCGCCTGCGTCACGCCCGCCGCCCCCCGGCCTCTTCTGGGGTCGTTTCCCTGGCTTCCCTCGGAGAAGTGTGCCGAGGGGCCGGCGCCCTTCCTGTGAAGGCGAAGCCGCCTTTCCTGGCTGGGGACAGACCCTGCCCTGGCTTTGTGTTTGCAGTTTTGTCCAGTACACATCTATTAGGCACCTACTGCGTGCCTGGCACTCCGCACTGCCTTTCGAGGCACCAAGTGAGGACAACCCACTGGGGTCCAGCAGGAACAGCTGCTTCTGCCAGAGCGTTTAGGTGACACTTAGAAGCTGGATGACCCAGGGGTCCAGCTCCACGTCCTCCTTGGGTTGGTAAACTTACAGGGCCCGTGGTCTCTGTGGTCTGTGAGGCTCTGGCTGATTCCGTGTTTTCCGAAGTCGTGACCCCTCCATGACCCGGGAGCCTGGCCTTGATCCATCCGCAGGCGAGAAGGCCCTTCCCTAGCCTGGGCTGAGGGTCTCCTGCCATTTGGCCCCTTTTGCTTCCTCAGGAGAAATGCTTGTGGTCAGCGGTGGTGACGGGGGACAGGGGGCCGCTCCTGTTGCCGTCCCCTTGGACGCCTCCTCCAGGCGGCCGGCCCGGAAAGGCCTCCTGAGGACACCCGGGGAGCGCGGTTCGCAGACGCGCACTCACGTCAGCCACGGGGCCCCGAGAGCTCCGTGCGGCTCAGTAATTGGGGTATTTCCTTTCAGGCCTGAACTCTGGTCCAAGGAAATCTTCTGGGCCTGTGGAAAGTTTCCCTGACCCGGGCAAGCGTGCGCTGGCACGTCCTCCCCGACCAGGGATGAGGAAGGGTTCCCTGGGCCACGGCCAAAGCGGGATGTGCCAGGGAGCGGCGGCCCCGGAACGGCCGGCCTCGGCCGCCGCCCGACTGCCACACTCAGGGCTTCGTGCGCCACCCGGCCGTGGCCCTGGGACATCATCTGATGTCTCTGTGCGGCAGCGTTCCCCCCACAAAACTGAGGCTGTAGTACAAACCTGTGACGCGGGCCGCCTCGGCTGGTCCGCACTCAGGCCTGGGCCCGGCAGCGCGTCCCTGCCTAGGGCACGTTTGATGCGTAAGTGGCTAAAATGTCCCCGGGCCCCCTCGGGGGGCGCTCCGGAGAGGCTGTCAGGGAGAGGCCGTGAGAGCGCCGGCAGCGCCCACCCGGGCGTGGTGACGCCAGCGACAGGAACCAGCGGCACCAGCGGCACCAGCGGGGAGGGGCCCCTGCAGGCTGCACACAGCAGCACTGAGCTGGTCAGCAGAGCAGCCTCTCTCCCCGGAGGCGTCCCCCGTGGGCTGCTCAGCAGGGACGGAGCGTCCAGTCCCTGGAAGGGGTTCCCGGGGGGGCGTCCGGTGGGGGCTGGGTTCGCAGCCCCCGCACCGCTGACCACTGACATCATCCTCACACCTGCCGGGCTCCGGGAGACACGTGTCACACAGTGCTGGTGTCCTGGGGCTGCTCCAACGAAATGCCACAGGCCAGGGCGGGGCGGGGGTGTGTAAAGCAGCAGGCGCAGCCCCTCCAAAGGCTCCAGGGGAGCCCCCCCTGGCCTCTCCCACTTCTGGTGGCTCTTGGCAGCCCTGGGGGCTCCGCGCTCGTAGGCGCCTCTGCCTGGTCTCTGCTTCCCTCACCACGCAGCCCCTTTCCTCTGTCCATGTCTCTGTGTGTCCTCTTCTAAGACCCCTCAGTCCTATTACATTTAAGACCCACCCTGGTCCACTAGGACTTCATCTTAACTCACTGTATCTACAAAGATGTGTTTCCAAGTAAGGCCACGTTCTGAGGTTCTGAACGGCCACGATGTCGGGGGGGGGGCCCATTCAACTCAGTGCACGTGTGCGCTGTTGGGGGGGCTCCCTGTTGCCACGTGAGCTCCTCGGTGCGCCCTCCCAGGCGCAGGGCACGGAGCGGGGGTCCCCTGGGAGCTGGGTGTTCCTCTCGAGACCCCCAAAGCAGCCAGCTCTGAGCGCCATGCTGAACCTGGGGAGGGGCTTGGGTTGGGGGCAGCCAGCAAAAGGGTCACCGCCTCTGGTCCCCCCGGCATGGCTCGGATGTTCTGCACGAGCGTCGTTTGTGGTCCCGGAGGTGGTCCCCAGCCTGGGCCCCTGTCCACGGCTTCAGCTCCCCATCGGCGACGGCGTCCCTCTCGTCTTCTCTCGCTGCCCGAGCGTCGGGGTGTTGATTTGTTCGTTTTGGCGTTTTCAGAAGCGGGAAGGCCTGCTGCACTCCAGCCACGTCACGGAGGAGCTGACCACGACCACCGAGTAAGTGGACCTGCGGCCTGCGGCCGCCCAGGCACCCACCCTGCCCCTCCCCCTAACTTTAGGATGAAATTTCCATACTTGCATCTGTCCTAGCTTTGCGTTCTCACACATTTCTTTCAAAGCTTTTTTTTTTTTTCCCCTTCTTTGTGAGGAAGGGCAAGCTAGCAGTTTGGTTTGGTATTTAAATGAGGAATCCTAGATCTATTATTTCTTCCCAAATAGAGCACTGAACCAAAATGTAAGGCATAGGCATTAGAACTTCTTCTGGCTGCCTGAAATCTTGTCTGGAATGAGACAGAGACTAATAAACAAGTAAAAATATAATTGATCACGTTCAAAATCCCTCGCGAGGAAGCGAAGGATGAAGAGAGATTTACAACATTGAACTTCCACACAGTGGGTGTTCACAGGGTTTGGTAATGGAACGAGTTAGTCCCTGAAGCGGGTGCATTTGTCACTCCTTAAGTTAGAAGGTGGCCTTTGGGATGTTGTGGGGCGGGGGGAGCTCACCCTTATCTGTCCCCCCTGGCTCTGTCAGAGGGAAGAGCCCTGCATCTGCGCAAGACCCATCCTTTGACAGGTGGGCCGAGCCGTCTTTGCCCCTTCGAGCAAGCCAGAGGGCCCTGGCTGAGAAGTCTGAGAGGCTTCACATCTCTTGAAAGGAGCAAATCAAACGTTACATGGCACGTGTGGTGTCTAGGGGACACCTTGTTAAACGTCTTTAAAACTCACAGCGTTTGTGCCTCTCCGCGAGACCTGTTTCAGATGAAACAGAACGTTAAAAACGGATTGTCTCAGCGAACCCGTCCGCTCAGTTCACGGACTGATTAGTTCCCGTGTCATGAATGCGTGTGTGGTCTTTGAAAACCCGGAGATGACACGGGAAACCACGCCGTGTGTGGGCGCTGTCGGGGCAGAGGGAGGGACGCTGACAGCGGCCTGAGGCGTGCGCACATCTGTTCCAAGTCTGTGGAGGGGGGGTGGGGGCAGGGCGAGGTGGGGAGGAGGACAAGGGACAGCGGGCCTTGGAGCAGGAGGGGGCAGCTTGAGGGGGAGCGGGAGTGGGCTGGTGTCTGAGTTATCCACGTGACAGACCACCCCCAGACCGAGTGGCTTGAAACGACAGCCATTTTCTCTGATGACCGTCTGTGTGTCAGCGGCCTGGGCTGGGATCAGCCGGGCGGGTCTTCGGCGCGTCTGGTCGTTGCGGACGACGTGGAGTCTGTCCCTCCACGTTCATCTCTCATCCTCCTGAAGCTGGGCTTCCTCCCGTGGTGCCCCCCGGGTCCTGAGGGAGCGAGAGTGGCCACGGGCCCCCCCGGGTCCCCACACTCATGTCCTCGGGTTCCGAGGGTTGGAGCCAGGGTGAAGGCCACCCTGGGTGGGAGGCAGAGGCGGCCGGGCCCACAGCAGCGGGTAGCGTGCCGCGTGGCGGGTGTGTGGCCCTCTGCAGCGGCCTCCCACGGGGCGAGGGGGACCCAAGAGGGGGCACGGGGAGCGGGGGCGGGGAGCTCTGTCCTCGGAGGTAATGGCTGGGAGAGTGGCCTCACAATTCATGGCGGTGACGGGTGCGCAGCGGGCCCACTGTGCGCCAGGCACTGCGCTGGCACCGAGAGGCTGGGGGCTCCTCCCCCTAGGTGGGCGGCCTCGCTGGCGAGGGCGGGTGTGTTCGTGGGGATGTGAAATCCTGCTGGTGGGAAGTACCACGTGGCCTAAGGGGATTTCAGGAGGACCGGGAGCACCCCCAAATCAGGGCGGGGGAGAGTTCTTCCAGCAGAGGCCGCTCAGCCTCCCGCCTGGTCTCCCGGCTCTGGGTTTGCTCTCGCCCATCGCTTCCCTGCCGCATGGCCTCAGCGGATGTGGCATCAGATGTCTGCCCCGGCCCCCGAGCGCCCTGCCTGCCGCTCCGCAGTCTGGCTTCAGGCCCCTTGCAGCTGGCCCTCCAGCGCCACTGAAGACCCGCCCTCAGTTTCTTCAGGCGCCCTCCCCTCCCCCCATCCAGCCCCAACATCCTTCCCACTGCTCTTTCTAGAGGCAGCGCTGAGGTCACCTCCTCCAGGGAGCCCTCCCTGTTTGCAAGCAGGAGTGGCTGACTTCCTTTTGTTCCCATAGTGTCTCCTGTATGTCACAGTGTGCACACGGGCCATGTGGAAATGTGGGCTCAGGGATCTCTGTCACCACCAGGTGCCACACGGGCAGGGCCAGGGGTGTTCATTTCTGTATCTCCATGACCTGCACCTAGTAGGTGCTCAAGAAAATGCTTGTTAAATGAGATGGAGCCAAAGGACTTGAGTCTAGAGGGATGTGGGGACAAATGAAAGGTCACCTTGCGGCTTGGGAAGGTGGCACGGGGAGGCGCTGCGCGTTTGGGCACTTGAAATAGTCAAGGAGCAGCGAGGGGTCCCGCCTGGTGGGTTCGGCAGGACCCTGTCATGTTCGGGTTCCCTGGAAGCGCACCGGGTTCACTCACGGATGGGAGTGACCTGTGGTCCCCCGCACCCCGGTGTTTTAAAGTGCGCCGCTCCATGGCTGCGGAAGGCCCGCTGCTGCTGAGCTGCTCTCCCTGTTACCCTCTCCCTTGATCTAAGTGTCCTCCAGCGACCTAAAGGAGTGGTTTCAGTGCGGACGATGATTTAGTGCGGGATGGAATTCATCCAGGCGTGGTCACGGCTTCCCAAGCAGCCTCTGGGGGGCCTCTCGGGGCCCTTCTGGGTCGCCTGGCCCGCGAGCCGCCTGCGTCGCCCCCATCACGCCCTGGCTGACCTGTGGTCTGAGCCCCCCACTGATGGCTCTCTCTCTGTTTCTTGTTTGCAGGATGATGATGGGCCGGTTTGGTAAGTAACCCCAGGAGTGGGATGAGGTTGGGGAGCCTGGGGTCGCAGGGCACTTTGGGGTCGTCCCAGAAGGCCCCCGGGGCTCAGGCGGTTACGCGGGGGCTGCAGGACCCCGGTGCGTGTCGCCCGCTGCCCCGGCAGTTCTGGAATCCCGTGGAAGCCGCGGCTGCCGTGGGCCCGCGGGGCTGTGCTCGTTCTCGGAGCTGGGGGAGGCCAGGCGGTGAGGCCGGGAGGGTGGCGGGGTGGGGGGAGGACGGGCCGCATCGGGGATGTGGCAGGGACCGCGGGGGAGTGGAAACCAGGACAAAGGGGAGGGCGGAGATGTTGGCTCGAACACGAGCATAATTAGCCAGGAGAGGGTTTCCTTTACGGGCCAGCCTTCCTGCGCCGTCTTTCCACCTTGAATCACTGGCTCGGAGGACGCGCTCAGAGTCAGCAGCCTTGGCTCTGGCCCCGACTGGGCGCCCGCGGCTGCTCCCCCGCCTCTGTTCCTCCCCCGGGCGGGCGGCGGGGTAGTCCAAGGTGGAGGGGCGGGCTCCTGAGGTGAGGGTGTGCGCTCCACCTGCCGGCCCGCGCTTGGGGCAGGGCGGTTCTTACTGTTCGCTTTCAGCGGCTGTTCTCCCTCCTGTAACGGCCCCATGACCCCACCTCCACCTCGGTGAGGGACAGTGGATAGAGGGACCGTTGGTGGCAGCGTTTAAACCCAGAGGCAGCCCGAACCAGGCTCGCTGCTTTGCAGGATATTCCAAAACAGAGCACCGGCCCCCAGATTCCATGCTCTCCGGTGAGCGGGGCTGTTAGCAGGCAGAGCGGGAACCAAACAGAAGCGTGTCTGCCACGGGCTTGGCCACCAGGCGCCGTCCCCTCGGGCTGTGATGGGGCCCCCGGCACACCCCTGCCGCTCGTGCGGGAAAGGCCTCGAACGTGAGAAAGCGCACGTTCTGGCCCTTGTTAATAGGTGGGCCTGGGAAATGCAGGCTTCCCTGTGTTTTTAAAGTTGCAATTCAGGTTGTTTTAGTGTCTTTATTAATTTGCGTTGTGGGGGAAGGACAGAGAAAAGGAAACTGTCCTGTGTCCAGTTGCTGAGGTCAGGGGGCCGCAGTCGGGGTGCGGCTCACGGCGGGGCCAGCGTGGGACGCCCGGTGGACCGGCGCCGTGGGCAGCCTGGCCCTGTGCTGTGTCCGGGTGGAGGCCCGTCTGGGGGTGCAGTGCACCCCTGTGTCGCCTCCCTGTCCTTCCTGCAGGGAGGGGTCCAGACCCCGGTGGTTGTCGAGGCGCAGAGGTGACGAGGGGGCAGCACTTTAGACCGTGGACTGGTTCTCTGGTGCTGTCGCGTCTGTGTTGGGGCAGGTCTGTGCGGCCCCCGCGGCGGGGAGCAGGCGCTGCCGGGTGAGACGCCCCGGCCCCGCTGGGGGCGGGCGCCCAGGGCCGGGCCGGCATGGCGCTCCTCGGCGAGAGTCCGGTGGCACCGTGGCGCAGCAGCGGAGGCGCCGCGATGCTGCCGAGCACGGAGCCAGCTGAGCATGGGGGGCGGGAGGAGGGGGCAGGGACAATGGAGCCACGAAGCCCGTGGAGTTGGCCTCATTCCTCACAGGCTCTTGCGTGCCTGTGAGATGCAAACAGGCTATTAGCGCGGGGCAGGCAATTAGTTCCCCTCCTTGGTGGCTTCGCTGACGCAAGCGCCAGGTCTCCTGGTGACCCAGACTGGCAGCCTCGGGCATAGCCGTGCTCCCGCCGGCCCTTCTGCTGTGGGCAGCCCCGGCCCCTCCAAGCTGGGCTCCCCCGACCCGGACGCCGGTCCCTGGCTGGCCCCTCTGGTTGGTTCCTCCGCACTGGCATGGGCTCCGGGCTTCTTAAAGCACCCCTGCACCCCCGACTCTCCTCGCCTCCGCCCCCCGCCTTGTTTTAAGCCAAAGCCACGGCCCTTGCGTGCCCTCTCAGACAGCACCCCCGGGACACCCCCTCCCCCTGCCTGGCCTCCTCCCCCCCCCCAGCCCCCGCAGGCCCAGCCCGCCAGGACGCGCTCCCTTCAGCCTCCCCGCGGCGGAGCCCCGCGCCCGGGGTGCTGTCCCCGAGAGTCCCCCGCGGCTCGCTCCCCCAGCTCCTCCAGCACTCCTCCAGATGCCACTGCTCCGCCCCCGTGACCCGCCTGCCCAGAAGGACCACCCGGCTCCTCCTGCCCCCACCCCGCCTCGTTATTTCTTTCCCACGTCTCTGCTCCCAGGAAGCATGTTGCTTTGCTCCCTACGCCAGCATGTACTCGCGTGGAGCCCTGCCACGTGCCCAGCAGACACGGGGTGCGGGGCAGCATGGGGACCCCGGTCCTCCCAGCTTCCCGCTCGCACGTGGCTGCTTGACTGTAAGTGTGCTGCGGGCCGGAGCCGCGTCTTCCTCAGCTGTATCGCCCAGGTGCCCCCGAACCCCAGGCAGGCCTCCCTCGGCAGGTGGCCCCCAGCTCCGCGGGGAGCGGGTCCTCGGCCTCCGTGCCTCCCTTAGGCACTCGGAGCGAGGGAGGGAGGGGTCCGCGCTGCCCCCCACCCCCACCCCCAGCTCCTGACGCCATCCCTGTGCTGGCTGAGGTGGGACCGGAGGCCCTTCTCTCCCCAGAGGAGTTGGGGAGCTGCAGCCTGATCTCCATGGCAACGGGGTTGCCAGCTGCCTTTCTGGAAGGCGGCCCCTCCCCCTCCCCCGTAAGTGGGGGAGAAGGGAGCAGAAGCTTTCTTCCTCTTCCCCTGCGGGCCCCTCCCCATCACGTCTCCCCCTGTCTGCCAGCTGAGCTTGTTTCCACTCTGCCGCTGGACAGACGGACCGCCACCCTTGGTCACAGCCTGCCTGCGCCCTCACCCTGGGTCCTCCCCCGGCGGGGGACCCAGCCCCCGACCCCCGCACAGGGCGCCACCTGGCACCCGCTATGGGTTTCCCGGCCTCTCCTCTTCTCTCCGCCTCGACTGCCCTGCCGACTCCTTGTCCCGGCCTCCATGTGACGTTTCCCCAGGGTCCTCTATCCCTGGGCCCTGAACGTGGTGCCTCCAGGGACCCGGCTGGTCACGCAGAAGAGGGAAGTGGCTGGAATATCACATGACAACCGGCCGCCGCCCCTCGGCCCCGTTGGCTGGCCGTGCGGAGCGGTGGGTCTGGGGCGAACTGCGGAGTCCCCGCCCCACCGCCGCGGGTGCTCACTGGGGCCGGGTGAGAGTGGAGCCCCAGCTCCCAGCGCTTCAAGAGGAGCCAGAAATCCAGAACGATGGAGAAGGCTTCCAATTTAAGAAATGCTGGACTCAAACAAACGCAGACAACTTTAGTTGGACCATACTAGACACCCCTGAAAGTTGAACGCGGCAGGTGCTGGCACGCTCTGGTTGATTTGTCCCCTTTCTGTGCCCTCCCTGGCCTTTCGGGGAGCCTGTCTCCTTTGTGCCTCTTCGGTTTACCCAGCTGCCTCCCCGCCGGTGCCCCGCAAGGGCAGGGCTGCCCCCTGTTTATTTCTGTGACTGTCCACAGAGGAGGGAGGCGAGGGTCCAGGGCAGCAAGGAAGGTTGCTGTCACGGACAGAGTGCCTGCTGGGATGGAGTGCCTGTCCCTTCATTCCTAGCCCGATGGCAAGGGACAGACGCTGTCATCCCCGCTTTACGTGGAGGACGCAGGCTGAGGGAGGGCCACCTGCCTAAAGTCAGGGACTCTGAAGCCAGGCAGCGGGGATGTGGACACGGATGTTTTCCCGCCCAGGCCCGGCCCGCAGGGTACGGGCTGGGGGTGACCTGGCCGCGATGCCCCTCTGCTCCCCGGCTCTGCAAGCCCAGCGGTGGCCCAGCTAAAAATACCCGGCTGACGTCAGCGCGGCTCTGCCGCTGGGGTTTTTCGCAAACTGCGTTTAAGTTTTGTGTTTTGCTGGTAAAGATTAGCTCCCCCTCCCCCACCTGGCAGACTATCCTACTGAGTATAATCCGACTTGAAGGAGCATAAAAATAATTGGCTGCGGCAGAGAAGCTCCTGCGGGGCTGCGCCTTTGGTCGCTCCCCATACCCCTGACACCCGAGCGCCTGGTCCCTTGTGCGTGTCACACACGCCCCCCTGCTTCCTCCCCCTTCCTCCTGGCCTCCCGCCTTCCTCCCCTGCCCCTAAAGCCACGGAGGAGGCTCCCGGGCTGGGCCGGGGTCGGGGCTGCGCCCTGCAGCTCTGCCCGTGGACGCTGGGCGCCGGGCACCCTCCGGTCGGGGCCAGGCGGGACGAGGGCTGGGATGCGGCCTCCGGGAGACCCGCACTCCAGCTTCCTGGGCCTGGGGCCTGCCGTCCCTTCCTCGCCACCCCGCCTCTTCCCGGGGTCAGGCTGGACAGCCGTGGAGCGGGCCCTGGTCCGGCCTCCTGGCTGTTCCCAGACTGGCCGAGACTTCCTACCCACGTGCCTGTGGGCCGGGTTTACGAGCCCCGCCCAGCTCCACAGTGGGGTTTGGGCCTAAGCCCTGGCTGGTAGTAGAGGGCTCTCGGCTGACCCCCGAAACCCTGGGGCACTGTGGCTCCTTAGGACAGACGTGGGGAGCCCCAGGCCCTGCCGGGTGCCCTCCCCCTCTGCCCTCGTGCCCCGGCTCCCCACAGCCCCACGCCCACCCTGGCGACCTCAGCCCTCCTGCCAGGGGCCCAGCTGGCAGTGGTCTCGGCCCTGTCGCGTGCTGCCCCCTGGGGCCGGGCCCCGAACCAGCCCTGCCCCTTTCCTACCCAGCGAGAGAGCCCAGGGCCGTGCCGACTCAGCCTCCCGCGGCCTCACGCTGGAGGGGGAAGGGGCCGATCCTGTGTGAATTTGGAGGGCGGGCTGGGCCATGCACAGGAGTTGGAGCCGCTCAGGCCTCGCCTGGGAGACAGCAATCGGCTGGGGCATGGTGGAGCGGGCGCCTCGGGCCCCGCAGATGTTCCCACGCAGATGTTCCCACGCAGGGGACACCCTGAGAGAGTTCTGCAGAGGGTGTCTGGGGCGGGGTCTCCTCTGGGTCATTCGTTTGTCTTGAGCGCTGGCTGTGGGCCCTGTACCGTCCTGGGAGCTGGGGACAGTGCAGGGAGCGAACGGCCTGGGCGCCGGCCCCTGGAGAAACACAAACTGTGCTCTCCGGGAGCGACTGCCTGCCGTGGAAAGGGGCCCCGGGGAGGAGGAGAGGCAGCGCACTGGGCTTCCGCAGCGCCACGGGGGGCCCTCAGAGGAGGGAGAGTCTGAGAGCAGCCGCAGGAGGCGGGGCCGGTGAACAGCAGGTTCAAAGGCCCTGTGGTGAGCGCCTGGCAGAGTGGCCGCCCGGAAGTGGCTGGTGGTGGGACGTCAGGGAGGCTGAGGTGTCAGGGAGCCACCGAGCCCTCTGAGTCCCACAGGCCCACGCGAAGGAGGCTGCTTTTTATTTTAAGAGAGGTGAGACGCTGTCAGCTGGGGAGGAGGCAAGAAACGGTCTGGTTTACACGTGAACAAGCTTGCCTGGCCCGCTGGGGATATCGGACCCGAGGGCCTGCAGTGGACGAGGGAGACGCCGTAGGCCTGACGCCGTGGCTGCGCCCAAGTGAGGGGCGATGGGGCTTGCGGGGGCAGCCACGGCAGCCGGCGGGGGGGTGGGGCCCGATGGCTCCACTGGTCAGCGGTAGCCGGGAGTGTGGGAAAGCGCGCCTCCAGCCCCGGGGCGGGATGGGGACGGGTGTCCCCCTGCTCCCTGTGTGTCTCACGTTGGAGGATGACCCGCAGTTGGAAAGGACTCGGAGCGTCTCCTTCTCGCTGGCGCCCCCGCCTCGGTTCTGGCAGGCGCTAAAGGGATTCCAGGCAGGCGTGACTGTCCCCAGGGACAGAAGCTGCCTTTTCCCAGGGACAGATGGGCGGGGTGGGGCCGCACCACGGCAGCTGTAACCCGCCCCCCCCCCCCCCCCGTGTCTCCCTGTCACACAGAGCGGGACGCCTTCGACACCCTCTTCGACCACGCCCCGGACAAGCTCAACGTGGTGAAGAAGGTAGGTGCCTGGCTTCTCATGCGTGGCTGCCGTGCTGGGAAGGGGGTGGGAAAGTGTTTGAAGTCTCAGAAACGTTTGCCACGTGGATTGAAGCTTAATTACAGTCAGACTGTAACTGCAGCGCATAAAATTGGCAGCTTCTAAGTCAACGTCTCTGCTCCCTGGGTCCCTTCCTGCCCACCCGCCTGCCCGCCGCTGTGTCGGGTGCGTCCCCAGCCAGCGCTGTGCGGCGGTTCATCCTGACATGCAGTTTTTCCAGCGTGGAAATGGTTTTGAGTGGGTCAACCCGCCGGCGCTCACGGGCCTCGCTGGCTCGGCCTTGCACTCACAGCGAACAGGAGGCCTTTGCGGGGAGCCGTCCCACGCGTGGATTGGGCCCGTTTCCCCTCAGACGGGGCACCAAGCGCAGGCCCCTGGCTGTCAGCCCCGGCAGCCTGCCTGCGCCCTTACGACCTTACGGGCGGAAAAGCCCACTGGATCCCGAGGCTCTGGAGTCAGGGGGCTGGGCAGCGGTGAGTGCCCCGCGGGGTCTGCCCGGAGGGCTTGTTCTGCCCCGGAAGGGAGTGGGTGTCGCTCCCCCGCGAGTGTCCGCCCACGGGGCCACCGGAGCCCCTGCCGCGAGCTCCCGGGATGGCGGCGGCAGGACGGGTGTGCCGCCCACCTTCCTGCGCAGCCGGAGGAGTGACCATTTCCGCCTGTGACCCAGGAGACGGCTCTTTGTCTAGGACAATTTTACCAAGCTGGTTCCTTTTTTAAAAAAAAATTTAATCTTTATTCTATTTTCGTGCATTACCATGTAGTCCCCTTGTACCGCCCCCGCCCCCAGCAGTCGCCACGGTGTGGTCCGCGTCCATGAGTCCTTTTTCCTTTTGCTCAACCCCTCCACCCCCTAACCTGCGCCCCCCCCGCCCCCGCCAAGTGCCATCTGCCCTCCATCTACGACTCTGTCTCTGTTTTGCTTGTTGGTTCGGTTTGTTCCCTAGATCCCACGTGGGAGCGAGATCATGGGTGTTTGTCTTTCTCCCATAAGACCCTTTGCAACAGTACGGAGGGACCCGGAGAACCAAAACAGGTTTCTCAAGGCGGGACTTCGCAGAGCCTCAAAAGTGCTGCTGGGCCTGGAATCCCCCCAGAGAGGGCTGGGTCGGGAGCCTTCCCCAGGCGTGCGCCAGTGGCGAGATCTGTCTGTCCATCCGCTTTGGGGGAGAGCACGTGGCATGGCCGACGAGTCCACCTTTGGAAAACACCGGCGCCGGCGGGGCCGGGAGGTCGGCAGTTCCCAGACGTGCTTGGCTGAAGGCTGCCGAAGCCCCCGCCCCCTCCGCCCCCCGCCCTTCAGGGTGGCGCCTTCCTCGCGTCCTCGGGTCAGGAGGGACACCCCTTGGGGCCTCAGAGCAGCACCCCATCCCCGCCCGGGGCCACGTCTGGCCCTGGCGGCCCTGACAGGGGGGGCTCCGCGGGCGGTTCCCCCCATCGCCCTCGCTGCCCGGCCGTGCGGCAGGAGCCAGAGTGTAGGCCCCTGCCTCAGTGTCCCCACCGGTCGGGGACAGAGGCAGCCCCGCCTCACAGCGGGGCACAAGGGCAGAGTGCGACCGCGTCTGCGTGGGGGTCCAGCGCGCGGCACGCGGTCACCAGGGCGTGTGGAACGTGCCGTCGTGCGTGCGAGGTGAGCTGTCGTCCATTGGTAGCTGTGGCGCCGGGTCGTTCTTTGAAGACATATTTTGGGCGCTTGGACCTTAGCACTGAGCAGGACGGAATCCTTTAATTTGCCCCACAGCTTCCTGCACAGCCTTGCCCTTCCCGCCCCCACGCCGAGAGTGTCACTGCCGTGTCCAAGGTCCCTGTCCCCCAGGTTAACAGCAGGGGGACCCTGCCCACTTATCCAGGTCTTTCCAGACTCCCCCGTCCTCCTCTCTCCCATCCCTCCCACATCCAGCCACGGCCTGAGGAGCCCAAAGGCTCGCACACGGGGTCGGGGCCGGCGCCCGCTCTGCCCACTCTCCGCGCCCCACCCCCGCGCGCCCCGGGCCCGGTGCGGAGCTCCCCGCTCTCTGTGCCGCCCCCCAGCCCCGCTCCCCCGCAGGGAGCTGCATGCCTCCCCGGCGTGCTCACCGAACCTCTCCTCTCGTTCCTGGGCTTTGCTGTGTCGCTCGATTTCTCCGCCATCTCCACTAGGCGTGTGCAAGGGGAATTACGTCTGGGGTCCCCGGGGCGGGGCTCTGTCCTGCTGTCTCCGTGTCCCCAGCACCAAGCAGAAGGCAGGGCCCGTGGGAGCTGCCCTGTGAATCTGAGTAGAAGCAACGGGGAAACAATGTGACGTCCAGGGGGAGGGTGGGCGGGGCTGGGCTTGAGTTTCCATTAAACTTGGGTCTGATGGCTGAGCAAAGTCACATGTGACAGTTTAAAAATGCCTGCTTGTGAGGGTTGTGGCCCCAGGCAGCCTTCCTCTCTCCATCTTTCATGTCCAAGGTGATACGTTTAAAAGTTTAATTGTCTCCCCGAAGTGGTGTCCTTCTGAAGGGCACCGGTGTCCTCCCGCGGAGCTGTGGGCCGCGGGCACAGTGCGCGTGCGGCCTGGTGAACAGGGACGGCGGGGACACTTCTAGGCGTAAACTCACTGCAACCAGGGGTTCTTGTAAGAACATTTCCTTTTAAACATAAGCTTTTTATTTTCGGAAACAGGAGCCGGGGGAAGCGGCTCACAAAGCCGGGGTGGCTCATGGTTCTTGTGTCCCTTTGCAGTCCCTCATCACCTTCGTGAACAAGCACCTGAACAAGCTGAACTTGGAGGTGACGGAACTGGAGACCCAGGTAGGCCGCGTCCTGGGCGGAAGGGCCCTCGTCCTGCTCCGTGGCCGGTCAGCGCTGCGACCCGGGTGGGCCTGGGAGCAGGCCACGCACCCTTGTTCCGTCCAGCGGAACGGCCGCCCTGCAGCCAAAGCAGCCCCGGCCCCAGCGCCCCGTCCCTCAGACCCTCTGTGTTTACTCCCTGGGGGAGTGGGGACAAAGCGCAGGGAACAGAGTGGCTCAGACAGCAGACTTCCGCCCGCCCCCGGCGCTGGAGGCTGCGGGCCCGGCGGCAGGGCCGGTTCCCGTGAGGCTGAGGGGGCACCGGGGCGGCCGGCGACCTCGGGCGTTCGTGGGGTCTCCCGGCCTCCGCCTCAGGTTCCCTTGCGGTCCTCTGGGTGCGTGTGTCTCCAAGGTCCCTGCTTCTGGAACGACGTCAGCCAGGTTGGATCAGGGCCATCCCAGTGACCTCATCTTGGGTGACCCCTCCAGGGAAGACCGTTTCCAACTCAGGCCGCGCTCCCGGGAGCTGGGGGCTGGGGGCCCACACATCCCTCGGCGGCGGGGGGCGGGGCGGTTGCAGTTCAACCCACAACACCCTCCAAGGTGCCCTAATCCCACCAAAGAGCCTCTGCGTGTGCCGGTCACTCAGTCTAGAATGTTCCATCCCCTGGGCCCCAGCAAATACTCACTAAGTACCTGCAGTGAATAGGCACAGAACACTTTCCCTAGTGAGTATGTAAGGCACCGTTGACCGTTGAACAGCATGGGTCTGAACTGCGCGAGTCCACTTACACGTGGATTTTTTCCCAATAAACAAATTGGAAAACATTTTTGATACTTTTTTTAACTAATGGAACAATCCTATTGCTGCTTTTTTGTTATCAAGGCATGAGTCATTACACCAGTAATTTTTTTTTTTCCACATTATCTCAGTTTTGGTGACTAGTGTTAGTAATACGTGTAACATCTGCAGTGTTTTGTATCAAGCAAGCCAACATTGATGTAGGTACAGACAGATGATTTGCCTTGTAAACAAGCAATGTAAACCTACGCTTTTGATAAACACAGCATAGAACTGCAGATATATTTTCTCTTCTCTGTGACTTTCTTCATAACATCTTTTCTCTCGCTTACTTTATTATAAGGGTACAGCACACAGTACGCGGATTTTCGACTGTGTGGGGCGTCGGCATCCCTAACCCCTGAGTGGTTCACGGGCCAACTGTACCCTCTCCCACTCCCACTCAGAACGAAGCAGCATCGCTAAACTATGGTTTTGAGCACTCAGCGGGTGTTCAAGACAAAATATAATTTTCCCGGGATTAGCTGAGGCTGGAATTTGGAGCTGCGGATTCTTGGTACCAATTTCTGAAATGTGCAGCTGATCCTTCTTAAAGCCCTGGGCGCTTGCTTTCATTTCTTTCTCTTTAACTTTTCTCATTTGCTTTTCTAATTAAAAAAGTAATTCAGGTTCATTGTGGAAATGTCTGACAATGCAGATACGCAGAAACAAATAAAAATCCGTTGTACTGCCGTCGCCGGAGATGCTGTGCGGAGGGCTTAGTCCTGGGGCTTCTGTCTATGTGGGTCCTTAACTGTGGACAGCGTGGGCCTGTGTCTGAGAGCCAGGGGCCGTTTTTAACGTGTTCACGTTTTTGTGTGTTGTGTGCAAGCGCACTGATTACGGGTAGCGCTTTATTAACATGGCGCGCGTAGGCTCTGGTCCTTCCCCCTCCTCACAGCCTCCCCTCATCCTCTCCGGGGGTCTCCGTCGTTCACGGGTGGCTGCCTGTTTTTCTAGATAATTTATATGCGTCAATGTACTTTCTAACCGGCAGCGCGTTGTATGCGCTGTTTGTAACGCTCTTTTGGTTACTAAATACATCGCGGGCGTCTTTTTGCGGGAGTGCGCGCGTGTGTTTCTGTCTGACCGATCTCCGTTGCCTGGCCTGTCATCGGTGCTTGTGTCTTTTAACAGCTGCTGTTTGTTCTGTCGGAGCCTGCGCTTCATTAGGCCCGTCCCGTACGGCGACGGGGCGCGTCCTGCTCTCAGGACGAGCAGCACAGGGGGCATTTTTGCAGGGGCCGCTCAGGCCATCTGTCCCCTCTGGGTTAACTCCTAGGAGGAGAATTGTCAGCACAGATGGAGTGGCGCTGAGGGCCCCGGGGTGCTTGACGCCCTACGCTGTCATCCCAGAGCGGCGAGCCGCGTCCCCGCTGGCGGCCCCCACTGTCCTCTGCCCAGCGGGCCTACACGCCAGGATTAATAGACAGAGACTCGGAACCTAAATTTACATTAACCTTGATTTATGCAACATCTCCGTTTCTCTTCTGTCACCACGCTATACAAAGTAATGTCTTAAAGGATCTGTGACCACTCGTCCACCAGAAAAGATCCGTGGCCACAGAAATGCAGAGAAGTCTTCTCTTGCAATGGAATGGCATATTTTTATAAATATTGGGTTGGCCAAAAAGTCCATATTTTTTTCCATAAAATAAAAGACATTTTTCATTTTCACCAATTAACGTTATTGCTTTGGATATTTTGAATATGTCTGCCATCTCCCACGTGGTCTAATGTTGATTGTTCTCAATTAATGTCTCAATTTGATCGCTGTCAACTCACCTGGTCCACCCGACCGTGGAGCATCGTCCAGCGAGAAACTTCACAAACCATTTTTGACACGTTCGATCAGTCCCAGAACCTTCTCCGTACACCGCACAAATCTTTTCTTTTAGTGTTTCAGTTGCATTTTTCCCTTTCTTAAAATAATAAAGCATAACATGCCAAAAGTGTTGCTTACCTTCTTCCATCTTCAATATTAAAATGGCTACACAAAAATTCACCCATTTGATAAGTTTTTTTTTTAAACGCACGCTGATACAACAGCTGTCACAATACAGTCTAACAAAATTATTTTGAATGAAGTTAAAGACAACTAAGCGCTACTCTTCCGGAAAAAACCCAACGAACTTTTTGGCCAACGCAGTATGTTCATCATCAATGTCTGGAAGCTGGGGGCTCAGAGGGGCCTGGGTGCCGATTCCTGCTCGGGGGGCGGGGGGCGTGTACACGTGCGTGTGTTTTCCCTCCTTTGAAAACGTCTTGTGTCTTGTGGGCAGCTTCCCGGCTCTCAGCCCCTCTGAGCCTCCTCCATGTGTTTGCACTGGAGACAGGAGGCGTGGTGAGGCTTAGTGGAGGATGTTGCACTCGGAGGCCAGTGTTGATGGCGAGGATGGTGACGGTGGCGTCCTGGGGCCTCCCTGGCTGTGGGTGTCTGAGCCAGGGCACGCCCCTCCCTCGGGACCCCTGCTCTGTGAAAACTGGAGGGTCCCCCTCATTGCCGACCAACTGCCTCGCTCTGCCCGGCCCTCGCCCTCCCAGGTGCCCCTTCCCATTCCCATGTCTTCCATGCCTCCGTCCGCACCGCTCGGCCCCTGGGCACGGCCGCATCTGCGGGCAGACGACGCGGGTGCCGTCTTCATTTGTGGCCGCCTCTGCGTCTGGGGAGATGTCGGTGCTGAGGAGCGCGGTGTCTCAGGCACGCCTGCTGTGTCCCTGGGGAAACTCCAGGGCGTCCCCCCCCCCCCCGACCGGGTGGAGCATAAAACAGCCTCATCGAGGTGCATGAATGCTTTTTAAAAACTCTGATCTCCTCAAGGAGATAAGTGGGTGATGTCTTCCTGGTGTGGAAACATGAGACCCGTGGCACTCCGGCCGGGGGTCGTTTACCTGTCAGACCACAGTCCACCGGGGTCTGAAGAGCGCCTGTCCCCAGAAGCCCCGGGTGGAGCCAGCAGCGCACGCTCTGCCGATCCTGAAGCTGCCACCCCGTAAGGCCAGGGCTTGCTCACAGCAGATATCTATGATTCTGTCTGTCTGTCTGTCCCCTCCTCACCCCCTCCCAAAGTTGCTCTGCCCTCATCAGTGTGAAGGGCTTTGTCTGTAAAAGGAGTGATCGCTCCCTGTCCCGGCTCACGGGGTCTGTCTGGATTCCCAGGCCCCACCCTGGGCGGCCGGCGGCCCTGGGCCGGGTGCGGGGGAGGGGCTCTTAGGAGAGGCCGCAGCGTTCCCCCTGCACCGCCTGGTCGTTCAGGGCCCAACTGGGACAGACACTACGTGCTGGGGACACGCAAAGGCTCCGGGATGGGACAGTCTTGCCTATGCCCCGAGCACAGGTGACGAGCGAGCAGAACGTGGCTACAACCCCCAAACCAGAGCACAGCCTGCTCAGGCCCTGGACCTGGCCTGCCGCCACCGAGCCCGTGGAGCGTCGGTCATTGTGTCACCGGCCCCCTGGACCCGCACCCCACCTCTGAGCGAGGGAGCCTGTGTCACTCCCAGTTGGTGGGAGGGGATGGGCCTCGTGGCCGGGCAGTGTGGTCCCGGAGCCACGGTCCCATCCACGCGGCTCTGCCCCCCCTCCAGCAGGCGCACGGTCACGCCCAGCCCTGGGCGCAGCGCCTGCTCCGGGTCCTCCTCCCGACTGCAGGCTCTCCCGCCCGACCCAGGGGTGGGCCGCTCTGTTTTAAAGCATTTGCCTCCTTTCGAGTGGACGCGAGCGCACGCCGGTGCTGTGCATGGCCCAGAAGCCCCACCCCGCGTTTCTCTGTAGTTTGCAGATGGCGTGTACCTGGTTCTGCTGATGGGCCTGCTGGAGGACTACTTCGTGCCCCTGCACCACTTCTACCTGACCCCCGACAGCTTCGACCAGAAGGTACGCGCACCTGCCTCCGTCGGGGAGGGGCCTGGTGCCGGGCTGGCGACCCCCCTGGGGCGCAGCGACGCTCTCCACACGTAAAGCCGCCGGCACGCGGCGCTGCAGCGGGGGCCCAGCACCGGAAGGAGGCCCGCGGCAGAGCCGGTAGCCTCGTTCTGCTCGCTCGTCAGCTGCCTGAGCCCCCTCTCCCGGCTGTGCTCGGGACGAGATCATTGTCGATGGTTGTGGCCAAATGTCAGCACAGTTGCACATCTGTCCCCTGTGTAATGGCTGGAGTCCCCGCTGCGTCACGAGCTTCCCAGGCGCCATTTTCAGTGGTGGCACAGGCCCCGTGGAGCGGCCGTGAGGCCGCCGTGTCCTGTTCCCTTCTGCTGCGCAGTCCTGTTCCTGGTTTTCCCGGTTAAAACAATGGAGCGTCCCTTCCTTCCTTCCTTCCTTCCTTCCTTCCTTCCTTCCTTCCTTCCTTCCTTCCTTCCTAGTTTAGAATCATTGTTTTATTTGTTTTTGGTTTTTTACAATTTTTAGTGATTTAAAAAAAAATTTTTTTTAATTGTTCCAATACACTTGTCTCCACCTTCCCGCCCCCACCTTCCCCTGTCCCTCCCCCACCTCCCTCCCTGAATCCTTCCCCACTTTGGCTTTGTCCCTGGGTCCTTTATACGTGTTCCTTGACTTGATCCTTCCCTTCCCTTTCCCTGCCTCTTCCCTCCTTCCCTCTTGATTCTGTTGGTCTCTTTCTCTTCTTCTTCTTCTTTTTTTTTTTTTAACATTTTATTTATTTATTTTGAGAGAGAGGGAAGGGACGGAGAAAGAGAGGGAGAGGGACATTGATTGGTTGTCTCTACGCCCCTCTCTGGGGACTGGCCCACAACCCAGGCCTGTGCCCTGACTGGGAATCAAACCAGGGACCTTTGGGTTCATAGGCTGGTGCTCAGTCCACTGAGCCACAGCAGCCAGGGCTGGGGCGTCTTCTTAAATGTATATATTTTTCATTCCTGTGGGTTGCTCGTAGGAAAATTCCCCGGGTAGTATTGTTTGGATCAAAGGGCCTGCCCTTCACGTTTGGGTTGCTGGTTCTCCGGGGGCCCTGCCCTGTGTCACTGGGCCCACTCTGCCCCCTGCCCAGGGCCTCCTGAAGTTCACCCACTTGCCAGTATTTACTTGCCTTTGGAAACTTGGCGTCTAGGCTGACCGTATTGCTTTGGACACATGGGCATCTGTCATTTTCTTCCCCCAAAGTGCTAGACCGTGAGTCAGAGAGGCAGGCGGCCAGAGGAAGCTTCGAAAGCCGAGCTTCAAAAGCCGGGCTTTGAAAGCCATGTCCTGCTTCTGGCCCCGGCAGCTGTTTGCTTGTGGCCAGACGCTGGCCCAGTCATGCCGCCGAGGTGGGTCAGAGCAGGTTAGACAGGCCCCGGCAGGCCCAAGCCCGCGGTGGACAGTAGGCAGGGAGGGAGCGGGGGACCCGGCAAAACCGCGGCACCCAGGCAGGAAACGTGGTGCGGTGTCGCGTCTGGTGAGGCCACAGTTGGGCGACAAGGCTTGTGTGTACCCAGGCCGGCTGTGGCGGCGGCAGCAGCGCTGTTGTGGAGAGAGCTTTCCCGTGTCCGAATCAGTGAGAACACTGGGGAGAGCGACAGCCTGGGCCCCACGGCCCGGACGTGGCTCCGGGCTTGGGGCGGGTGCTGTCCCCCTGCCCGGCTGTCTTCCCTTCGCACCGGGGGTGGGAGTCCTCGCCGGCAGCTGCCCTGGCCTGGAAGGAGCGAGGCCGGCCCACCCCTGTGCAGCCTGCCTGCGCCACTGAACGGGAGCCAGGAAGAGAAGGCTGTTTCTGGGGTGGCTCCGTCCGGTGCAGGGCGAGCCCTCTCACCCTTGAGAAATGGAGGCCCGGTGGTGGCCCGGGGCGGTGGGAGCCGTCCTCGGAGAGGAGGCCGGTTCTGCGGGATCCTTGCGGGCCGTGGGCCCCACCTCTACACCCTCCCCACTCCCCTCACAGGGAGCGGAGATACCCTAGAGCCCCAGGAGGTTCCTCCTGAGCCGGGACGCTCATCAGCCTCCTGGCCCCCCCGACGGGCACAGAGGCTACGTTTCCCCACTGCGTGGGCTGAGCCCCTGCAGGCTGCTCCCAACGCCCGCGCTCCCAGGCGCCACGTGCCGATGGGGCACAGAGGGGCTGCTCACTGGGCGTCTCCTGGGCCCCTTTGCTCTGGCACCCGGACCCTGTGATGCAACAGGAGACTGTGGCTCAGATCGCAGATGCATTGTGGGCCTGTGTTTTTGAACGATTGCAGCGGATTTAAAACATGAGACAGGATAGCTCAGACCCTTGGGTTCCTGGAAACAAACCAGCTGTGTCCTTTGACCCAAGCTCCTTTGAGGTTCGGGTACCACCCACGGCTTTTTGTTCTAGAGCCCTGGATGAGTCTTCCTCTGTGCTGGCCATGTTGCTACGTACTTTGTGCCCATCCTCCATCTTCTGGAAGATTCCACAGAGCCCCTCGCTCTCTGGGGTGGACTCAGAGGTTATCCCTAGAAGCAAATACCAGAAAGCGCTTGGCAGGTTCGAAGTCCTTTCCCTCTGCCCCTCCTTCTGATTCCCTCTGTCCCCGATGAGGAGATGGAATCTCAGGAGGGCTGGGGCTGCCCGAGGCCAGTCAAGCGGTCAGCAGGGGGCACACCCACTCTGTTCTGGAACCCTCTATTCCCCTCCCACCTGGCCAGGGTCTCGAAAACCCTTTGAATTGCAGAGAGTGAGGACTGCAGAGTGTCCTGCCGTGTGGCGGCTCCCGGCTGCGGTGTGGGGCTTCACGGCGCCGTGTGTGGGCCTGTCCCCGAGGCCCGGGAGCCTTGCTGCTCCGCGGTCACAGCCAGGGAGGGTGGTCCCATGGCTGCGTTCTGTGGGCCGCGTCCAGGGCGCGGGCTCGGGGCGAGGGCACGGCCCCGAAGGACAGGCAGAGGCTGGTGGCCCTTCCCTGGCGGCAGGGCCCTCAGGCTGAGGAGAAAGCAGGAGGGGAGACCTGCTTCCAAACCAGCCACTGTGGGGCCGAGGGGCTGCCTGTCGGCCTGGAAGGGAGCTTCCTCCCGGACTGTCGTCCCCGAGGGGCGGAGCGGAAAACCCACCCCACCCACACTCAGCGCTGGGCAGTTTCCAGGAGCCGCCTCCCTTGCGGGGTCTCGGGCCTGGTGTGTTGGGTGCCAGGCACCGACGACGTTCCCACGCCTGTGACCTGCCAGTGCTGAGAGTGGGGCGCCATCAGGCCGTGGGCGCCCCGGGGAGGCGCCGAGGAGGCACCGGTTCCCGTCAGGCTGATAGCCAAACCTGGCCCTTCCTCCTCGTTTCGCCCTGTCTCCACCTCGATGCGCAGCCTGCTGGGCGTGTGCAAATCCAGGGACCGGCTGGTGGCGCGGGGCGGGTGCTCTGGGAGCAAGGGCCGCTCTCTGCTGGGGACAGAGCACAGGGCTGGTGTCCCTGGGAAGTGACTGGTCTGCCCCAAGCCTCAGTTTCTTCATCTGTAAAACGGGGCCACTGTCCCTTCTCGTGGTGTGGATGTGCCGGGCCCCGGGGCAGACACGCGGGGCCCCCCAGCCCTCAGGGCAGGCTCCCTGCCTTCGCCCCTGCGCCTCCAGCTGCCCCATCAGATCCCTGGGAGGGGAGGGAGGACCCTAAGTGAACGCGCGTTGCTCTCAGCAACCTTGACCCCCCCCGCCCTGCGCTGGGCACCTGGGTCCTCACGGTCATTGCCAAGAACCGCTCCGTCCGCGCTCGCTCCTGTCCTGGCCTGTTGGGAGGAAGGCGGCGGGCGGTGGGCGGCGGACGGGCCCAGGGACAGCTCCGCCCCAGCGGTAACTCCTGTACCCTTGGCAGGTCCACAACGTGTCCTTTGCCTTCGAGCTGATGCTGGACGGAGGGCTCAAGAAACCCAAGGCGCGGCCCGAGGGTAAGGTGCCGAGCGGCGCCCTCGGGGAGGGCCGGCGCGGTGCAGAAGGGTGGCCAGGTGGCCATTTGTCCGAGGCGGCGGAGGGCCGGACCTGCCCCTCCCGCTCAGGCTGCGACTGGGTGGCCCACAGGCCGGCTCGGCCGACCCCGGGTCGCCCCCATGACCCCCAGGCTCCTGGTTTGGGGGACCAGGAACCGACGGCTGCCAGTGCCGGTTCCTTAGTGGCCCCCCGACATGGGGGGTGTGGCTGTCCCACAGGCCTCAGGACCTCAGCGCCTCTCAGGGCCCAGTGCCCAGGCGGGGGTGGCGACTGTCTCCCGGCCTGGAAGGAGAGCACAGGCTTCCTGCTGGGTCCCTGGTGACAGCAAAGGTCGGTGCTCCTGGGCAGGGAGGCGGCCGCCCGTCCTGTCCCCGGAGGGGCTGAGCCAGGGCCGCCTCCCTGCCCTCCCTGGCTGCCGCGCTAAACCACCTGTTCCAGGGCCCTCTCTCCCGAGCAGGTGTCCAGGTGCTGCAAGGGCATCTTCAAGAGCAGAGTCCAATTTGGGGGCACCGGCCCGGGCCCGACAAGCCCCGTTTCTAACCGGTTGCCATCCAGGTGGCACTGCCGCCCCTGGTCTGGGGACCCCGCTGCCCTCCAGCCATGGCGCAACTTCGGGGTGAGATGGGTTCATGGCCCCCTAGACACCCACCTTGGGTGTTGAAGGCCTGACCAGGGACAGGAATTCCGTCCTGCGCCCCATGAACACAGTCCCCTGCGCCTGTCCCTTGTCTGAGGTCGCAGGGTCGGTGAGGCCAGGAACCGGGGGCCCGGCTCCCAGGAGGACAGGGACCCCCCTCACCAAAGAAGGCGCCAGCCGATGGGGCCCCAGCTGTCACCCCCAAAGTGTCCTGGGGTGGCCACAGCATGCGCCCACGGGGTGGGGCAGCCGCCGCCCCCCGCCCCCGCAGGAGGCCTGACCCTGCTGCAGGCACAGGGGAGCCTGTGAGGGTTTGGTCCCCTGCAAATGCCCGCAGCTGTTGTAGACCCCACCCCATGTGGATGCCGCCGGTCGCCCTGACGCAGACCCTAGAGGGGATGAAGGGGCACATCCCGCAGGCGGTGGCCTGGGTCTGGCGGGGGGGGGGTGCCGCCCAGCGCGCCCGGGGGACTGGGCGCAGCAGCGCTCTGCCGTGCACGGGGCAGCGGCCCGGCGCCCCCGGCGCGGGCTCCGGTGAGCTCTCTTGTCCTGTACACGCTTCCCGTTTCCTCCTGCAGACGTGGTGAACCTGGACCTCAAATCCACCCTGCGGGTTCTTTACAGCCTGTTCACCAAGTACAAGAACATGGAGTGACCTCGGCAGGGACGCCCCTGCGCCCCTGCTCCGGCAGGGCCTCCGGCTTCCCTCACGGCCCCGTTACGCCCCCTCCGTCCCCCCCCCCCCCCCCCCCCCCCCGCCCTTTCCACGTGATTCGAATGCAGGACTCTCAGCACCCGTGCTCAGCGCTCAGGCAAGAGGCCCCGCTTCACCGGGGCTCCCCTGGGAGCTGAGTCAGGTTGTCGGCTTGGATCACACAATGGAAGGAAAAAAGCCGAAAAGCCGGAACCAAACCCCTCAGGCCCCGGGAGGGGCGCCCTGCGTCCCGCTGGAGGGCGCCTGCAGGTCTGGCGGCACCTCGGGAGGGCTCTCCTGGGACGCGGGGCCTTTCTCATCAAAGGCACCGGCAGGTTTAAAAGCCCCACTCGGAGGTCCCAGAGGCTTTTGCTGTGGCAGGAATGTTCCCCCCCCCCGCCCCCCGCATCCCTGCTCCCTGGAGGCTCTGTGTTGTTTCCATTTCGTTGGTGCACTGACATCTGAGACCCAGAGGACTCAGCTGCCGCCCCCGCCTCCCTGGGGAGGGACGGAGGCGAGGAAGGAATGTCTGTTTCTGGCTGCCGGCTGCGCTGGGTGGGAGCTGGCCCTGGATTTGTCCCATTGCATCTCATCGCCCAGTCGTAACTCAGGCTGACTGCGTAAGGCCACGGTTCATTCGGCAGAGGATGTGACCCTTTATCCAAATAATTCGTTTCCAAGTTGGCGCAAAGGTGAGGGCGTGCCCTCCGTGCACCTGCGAAGCACCCCCTTGGGCTCTACGCGCCTCGTTTTTCTTCTTCCACGTCCCAGTGTGAGTCCACGTCCGCGGCGGGGCCCGGACATCGGGGTGGACCCTGCTGTGGGGAACCAGCCTTCTGTGCGATCCACCCACTTCTCCCATGGGCTTGGGGACAGTAGTGCCTTCTGGGTCAGGGAAGCTGGGGCATCTTCTTGAGGTAGCAGAAAAACCTGTCCTTAATTCCGGCAAGTTCTGAGACATACGTTTTCAGGGAATTGTGTCTTTTTGGAGAGGGACTCGGGTCCGCCACACCGGAACTCGGCGAGAGCTGGGGAAGGCTCTGCGGGCCGAGCCTGAATTCCTGTCCGTGCCATCGGCTGTGGGCGTGCCCTTGGCCTCCCCCGCTGGCCTCGGGGCATCCACCTAAAGCTGCCGCCCTTGAACAACCGCAGATATTAGGCAAGCGCGCAACCCAGAGACCGGCTCCTATGTCCTAATTGGATGGACAAAGAGCTATGTGGTTTCAGAACAACCAAGTCCTTTTCTACCCCATTGGTGTGCCTGTGTGTTACTGTCTTTTTGATCGTTGTGAGCAATGTTTACTTTGGATTTCTAGGTATTAAATAAAAGCCACTCAAACCCTGGCGTGTTGTTGACCTGGCCTGCCCGGCGACGGTGGCAAGCTGTCACTGCTTGCGTGTGCTGTGGGCCACCACGCCCAGACGGCCCCTCAGCCAGGGACCCACATGCGTGCGAGGAGAACCTCGTGCAGCGTGGGCAGAGCGCGGCGATTCATCCCCACAAAGAGCTCCGTGGGCGTGGGCTGCTGTGGACCCTGTGTGGCGGTCATTGGCTGCACCTGTCCAGGGTGAGGTCCTGGGCCCCGTGACCCCGCCGAGCCCTGTGACAAGGAGCTTGCAGGGGGACGAGGGCGCAAGCAGGAGCCAGTGCACAGCCCAGAGGCCGGTCTCACGGGCAGGAGCCACGGGGAACGGGTGGCAGCCACAGCCGCGGTGAGTGATCGTGAAGGACAGAGCGGGGCAGTCGGCCCTCTTGCCCGGTTCCAAACGGGAGCTGCCAGCGTGGTGACGGCACCAGCAGAAGAAACGCCGCCCCGGGGAGGAGGGCCAGGGACGCCGAGTGACCCGTGATGGCGGCCGCGTCTTCATGCCCCACTGTCCCTGCTGCCGGCCAGCCTTCCCTGCGGGGGTCACGGGAGGCTGGGGGGGCGTCTGACTTCTCCAAGTGCTAAGATGGTGACTTGCCGCACGGCTAGCCTGGGGAGCAGGCCGCAGTGCTATTTGTAAAAAGTACTGAAAATTACGAACTGCTTGAAAGAACCTCGGCTTGGGAGACACGCTGGGGTTTGGGTCTGGCTTGGCTCCCGGAGGACAGCTGGGGAGTTAATCGGCCCGCACCCCCCAGAGCTGCCCCTCCCGCCCTTCGAGTGAGGGCCTACTTGGCAGCGGTGGCTGGAGGCAGTTTGTGTTGTCCCACTGGGCAAGGCAGAGCCGTTGGCATGTGGCGGTTTGTCCCCGGGTGGCTGACACACATCCTGAGCTTCCCAACCACAAGCAAGTCCCAGTCCCCGCAGTGACAGACCACCAATGTCCCCTGGCCCCTGGGCCTGTGGGCCGGCCTCTTAGGGTTCACGCCATTTCCTCCTGGGCCCCGGAACCCGCCCTCGCCTCTGCCCCTTTGGGCTGGGGAGTGTGACAGCCCCCTCCTGGTGCCAGCCGTGGGTGCAGTGCCCTCTCTTCTGGGTGCCCTGGGCCCTGTGCCAACGCTTTCCAGTTTCCACGTGTGAGTGGGCCGACTCTCCGCTGCCGGACTCCGGGCGGCGCGGTTTCTGCTGTGATCCGCGCTTGGGAGGCTGCCGCCAGAAGCAGCGCGGACATCCGGGCACGGCCGCTTCCCGCCCCATTTCGTCCCAAGGCCCCATCTGGTGCAAGGGGATCGGGAGGGCACAGCCTAAATCCTGTGTCTCCTTGCCTCCCTCTGTGTCACGGGGCTGGAACAGCACCTGCGTCCCAGGCTGGGTTCCAGTGAAATCAAAGCCCTTAAAGTTATGTGTGCTTCATCGTTGTTACTCAATAAATATCAGCCATAAAATCAGCGATGCTTTTGTGCTACTTCTTGTGGACACCCCCCTTCCCTGCTCCCCGCTCGCCTCGTGCCGCTCCCTGCCTGCTCGGGCCCCGCTACTGCCTGGCCTGCCAGCAGAGAGAAGGTGGCCAGCGCTCTCCGCCCGGAACGCCTTTGTCCGGGCTCTTAAACCGGCACGCTGCTACTGGTCCGCCAGGGCCCACCCCTTCTCCGGAAGAACTTCCTCGTCTTCCAGGCAGACAGACAGACACCAGTCTCTGTTTTGGGGGAGCTCGCTTTGTGCCAGGCATTGTTCTAGGCTGTGGGACAAAGGAAGCTTCCAGGGGCTGTGGTGAGGAATCTGCAGTTAGGGAAGGCTTCCTGCAGGAGGAAGCATTTAGGCTGATGAGAGGGATGAGGACTTTGCCCTTTTACAAGCTGGGGCAGGGGCTTCTGGGGGGCGGGAACAGTAAGGGTGAAGACCCCGAAACAGGTACGTGGCACATTCAAGGCACCTTCAAGGTCAGCCTGGCTGGGCGGGCCTGAGCGCCGGAGGGGTTAGAAGATAGAGCTGGCAGGTTACCTTGGGACTTTTGGACTGACTGGGCCGGGCAGATTGGGTTTTTTCTTAGTTGTTTATCTATTTGGAGAGAAGGAGGAAGAGAAAGAAACACTGACTTGTAGTTCCACATATTTATGCACTCATTGGTTGATTCTTGTATGTGCCCTGACTGGGGATCGAACCTGCAACCTTGGCGTTATCAGGATGACGCTCTAACCCATTGAGCGCCCCGGCCAGGGCTGGTGGATTTATTTTAAGAGCTACTGGACGCCACTGGTAGGTTTCGAGTGCATTGGGATATGAAGCGGTGTCTTCGGTTGCTCGTGGAGAGCAGCCTGGTGGGGAGCTGGGGGAGTGGAGGAGCTGGCAGCCCAGGGTGGGGGTCCAGCAGGAGGCTCTTGTGTGGCCCAGGTGAGAGGAGGGGCGTCCTGGCGAGGGTGGGGCGGGGCCTCGGGGGAAGTGGGCTTTCACCCTGTGGCCTCGTGGCTGGCACTGCCATCTGGAGACAAGAAGCCTGGGGAGGAACTGGCTGCGTCTGTTGCGGTGGGGAGGGGGGGGAGGAAGAAGAAAGAGTAAATTTGCGTTGCCCGCGAGGCATCCAGGGGCCGGGGGCGTGGCTGGGCCGCGGTGGCCGGGGCAGAGCTCGCGGGCCGGTCTGCGGTGGCACCTCTCCCCAACGCACCAGGCCTGCACACGCAGCTGCAGCCGGCCCCGTGGGCCCTGCAGAAGCCTCGGCCCAGCCCGGAGGAAGTGAGCACCCAGCCCCTGCCTCCCGGGGCCCTGCAGCCCCCAGCTGATCCAGGGAACCCGGAACCTGCTTCTGTGTGGGGCCCGGGCCCCGTTGGAGCTCTGTGGCCTCGGTTTCCTGGCGTGGAGGAAGCCCCCAGGTGAGAGTCCTCCTGGCATCCCCTCCCTGGGAAACCCCGGCCGCTGGTCCTCTCTGTCCCCAATGCTTGGGAGTCCGAGTCCGCCCCGGGAAGGCCCGAGGGGCAGGGGGAACCGAGCCCAGAGGGCGCAATCTCAGCGGGGGGAGCGAGGGCGAGTGGCCCCGAGCCCTCATCACCCCCGCACGCTGGAAGGCACGACTCCTTCCCCCCACCGGGCCCAGATAGGCGGGAGGGCTCGGCCCCACTCTGTGCAGCCACGAGAATGGATTCCCGTTCCCCATGGCTTCTCCCCCAAGCCCCATGCACCCCGAGGCTTCAAAGGGGGAGACGGAGGCCTGGGGCAGAGAAAGGAGCGCCCGGGCTGCCGATGGCCCTGCGTCCACTCAGCTGCCCTTGGCGGCATGCGAGGTGAAGAGGCGTCGGGACCGGAGGGCGCGGGGCTTTGCCCGAAGCCACACAGCCAGGGTGAGGAAGGGCCAGCCTGGGCTCCGGGCCTCGTAATGCCCAGGCCTGGCTTTTTCCTCTTCTCAGGCCACAGCCCTCGAACCTAATCCTGGTGTCTAAGGGGAGGCTTGGGGATACAGGGGACAGGGCCAGCCCAGCGACCGTGTTCTCCCCATCGCCCCACCTCAGGGCAGGACGGTCCCCGGATGTCCCCGGATGTCCCCGAGCTGGCTGCTAGTGTGCCATAGGAGTAGCTTCAGCCCCACGAAGGCCTCTGTCCGAGCACGGCTGTGGGCCCCGCTGCCGGGGCTGGAGCCGACCACCAGCTTGGCCGCAGGGCACCTGGGCCCCAGATGTCTGTTAGGGCTGGGAACGCGGGGAGTTCCGGGGGCTGGAGAGGGGAAGACCGAGGCAGGGCTGCTGGCCCAGCAGCAGAGGAAGTCGGCAGGGGAACAGGAAGGAGGCCTGGCTGGGTCTGAATCCACCACCCCCGGCCGGCGCCAGCTGGTGCCCCCCCACCCAGAATGAGGCCGTGTACACTCTGGATGCTGGCCTGAGTGTGAGACCCCCAAACCACCCGAGCCCCACTGCAGGGAGCCTTGTGCGGGTTCAGGGCCAGGCCGAGCCAGGCCTCCCTCTGAGCGCCAAGCCTGCACGGAAGTGGGAGCCCACTCAGCGGCTGGGGTGCTGCTCTGTGCCCCGTGGCCTCGGGCGCAGGGGCCCTGCACCCCCCACCGCAGGAGCTCAGGGTCTGGGGGTGGCATCCACCAGCATGCTCTCCCCCCCAGACCCCCACAGGCCCCCAGACCCCCCCCCCCCCCCCCCCCCCCCCAGGCTCAGGGGTTCCTGGATCGGACAAGCTCTGAGGAGAGGCCGCCCCTTTATCCTGACGGTGGGGTGCCCTGGGCGACGTACACGGGGGGCTTCCTGTGCTGCAGGAGCGGGTGGACTGGCCGCTCCGCGCCGGCTGCGGATGCCCGTCCCCTGCGGAGCCCGTGCCCGGCGGCGGCGCCCTTGCCGTGTGCCTCCCTCCCCCCGGAGTCCTGGCTGCAGGCCGCCTCAGGGACCCCGACCCCTTGCCAGGGCGGCACCGTGACCTGCCCACCAGAGCCAGCCCCACCCTGTCCGCCTGCCCCCTGGTCTGGAAGAAACGCCGCAGAGCGGGTTTGGGGCTGTGCAGGCAGTGACGCCCTCTGTCCCCGGCATCCCCAGGGCTCGCAAGGAGAATGGAAACCGACTCCCTCTACCTCCTGCTGCAGTTCCCCAAGGGGGTGAGCCCGCCGGTGGAGCAGGAGCTCCTCCTGCAAGGTGCGTGTCCAGGAGGGGCTGGGGCGGGGTGGGTGCAGGGGACAGATCCGCGCCACAGAACCCTGCAGGCCGTGCCCGGGAACACTCACACTTTCCAAGCTGTCACTGAGCGCCAGTTCTGTTTGGCCCCTGCCGATGCCCCTCCGCGCTTCTGGAACCTTCCGCAGTCATCCCCAAACCCCTCATCGCCGCACAGCTCCAGGCCAAAGGGGACGTTGAGGAGGAGGACACCGATGTGTGCCCACCATGGGTGGCACTGTGCTAAGCGCTTCTTGTAGGCAGCACCTCCTTCATTGCTTTGAGGGGAGGTGCTATTACCTCCTTTGTATAAATGGGAAACTGAGGCGCAGAGAGTCATAGGCGGTCTGCACAGGTCAGACATCTGGCAGGATGGGGGTGTCCTGGCCTGTTCCCGTCACACTGTTGAGTCTCTTCAAAAAGTGGGCGGGGCAGCACAGGAGCAGCTCAGTCAGTGTGGCCGTTTGGCAAGTCTGCTTTCCGAGCGCGGGGGCTTGGCGGCCGCCACCCCTGAGGTCCCTCTCCAAGGAGGTGGTTGGGAGGCAGGAGGAAGGTGGCAGGCGCCCAAAGCTGTCCTTGCCCTGTAACAACAAACAGGTCGGGAGCCACCCCATGGTCCCCCCGGGCAGGGGCATTAGGTGGCCTCATGGGAATTTAGGTGACATTAAAACATATATTGATGACGGAGAAACTGTGTGGAATGACTTGTGGGAAAGAGCAGAGAACGGCTTTTTCAGATCCCGGAGTACAGCCTTTCAGAGTAGGCGTGAGGACCGGGAGCCCGGAGCGGCGGGCGAGGCGCCGGGGGGCTGCCAGCCACGGTCAGCACCGCCGGCCGACTTCACTCACAGGAAGCTGGGGTTCTCTGCTTCCTGGCGTGAGATTGGGGAGCAGCAAGAAGACCACTGTCAGGGTGTAGGGCTTAGCTGTTAGAGGAAATATTTACTCTTGTTTTTCAGTGGATTTAGAGACCAGTCAAGCAGAGCGGGAGCACAGGGTGACTGAGTGGCCAGAAATCTGCCCAGGAAGGGAGGGGGCAGTGTCGCCGGGGCTGTGCCTTCGTCCGCTCTCTCGCTGGCCGCCCACTGCCCAGGTGCCCGCTCACAGGCCTCCCCGCTCCTGTCAGAAGACGCAGGCTGGGCGGTCCCGGAAGGTTTCCAGAACCTCCAGCAGGGTCCCTGGCAGGGTCACGGGAAGGAAGAGGCGATGTGTTCTGTTAACTCGGGCAAGGCGGTTCCCACGAGGTGACTCAGTTTCCCCCATGCCCACTGGGACCAGATGGTCTCTCGGGTCCCTACCAGCCCTGACGTGTTGTGTGTTCTGTGAGTCTGAAACATGGGGAAGCTGCTGCGCAGGGTCCTGGAGCTCCGAGCGTGAGCTGGGGGCCTCCATATCCTGCCCACGCCAGGGAGCCAGGCAGGCATCGGGCCGTCCGCCTCAGCCCCTGGGGGCTTGGGGGGGCTGCGGCTTCCTTTCACGTGAGTGGGCAGAGCTGCCAGACGAAACAGGACACCCCGTCAAACGTGAATTTCAGATAGACAAGGAATAGTTTTAAAGCGTGTTCCCCAGATATAAACATTGCGGTGTCGGAGAATGAGCTGGCGTTCCTGAGGGGGCCCTGGGCGGGCGTGGGGAGAGGGCCGGGGCCAGGAAGGGCACTGGGAGGGCCAGGCGCGTTCAAAGCCCACGTCGCGGTGCGTGTCTGCTGCTCAGGGTGTGCGTGTGTGTAGTGTGTGACTGTGTCTGTCTATGTGCATGCATATGTCTGAGTGCATGTGTATCCATGTGCATGTGTCTGTATGTGAGTACATGTGTGTCGCTGCGTGTGCCCATGTGTGGGTGCCTGCGCATCTGTGTGTGTGGGTGAGTGTGTGCGTGCGCCATGTTCGTGTGAGTGCCCGTGTGTGTGTGTGTGTGGGAGGCAACGGGACCAAATCCCCCTTGTGGTCAAGGGGACAGGCCTTCGGTGACCTGCAGCGAGATAGCTGCCCGGGCCCTGCGGGGTCCACAGACACGCGTCACGCTCGCTTCTGCTTCCAGGAGAAAAGAAGAAATTCCTGCCCCCCACTTCCCGGGAGGACCCCAAATTTGAAGAATTGCAAAAGGTAAGGCCACCTCTTCAATCCTGCTTTTCGTCTTCTTGGGCTGGGGACAGCAGGTCACCCTGTCCCCCCCGACCTCAGGTTAGCAGGTGGTGACACCACAGGTCCCCCAGACACCTGTTGAATGGCTGCACGAAGGAACACTTACTGAGCACTAACTGTAGGCCTTTATATACATGATACCAGCCAACCTCTTGGGATTGAGAGGGATCTGCTGTCACCTGCCTCCCAGGGAGGGGACATCAATGCTCCGAAAGGTGACCTGACCTGTGGGGGACACATGGCTGGCCGGCTGGGGCTTGACCCAGGCCATTGGCCCGAAGCTTGGGCTCCTTTGCTCACTCGGCTCCCCAGGGCCCCAGACGGCTGGCAGAGTGGCAGGAAGGGGTGTCACCCATGCACGGCTCTGTCCTTGGCTACAGGACCAGCTGCACACGGGCCCAGGGCCTCCGCCTTCCTCTGCGCGGCTTCGCCAGTCTCCACGCAGCCTTTCTCTTGCCTCCTCCAGGGAGGCTTCCTGAGCAGCACCGCCTGCCACTACCAGAGGATTTGCGGCCCATTGCCCGTCCTTTCCTCCCGTACCCCCTCATCCACCTGTCCCACTGTCGGGCCTGGGGACACAGGGTCGACCCAGCATGGTCCCTTCTGGAAAGCTGGCAGGGTGCCGAGATGTCATCTCAGCTTGGGTTCCTCCAAACACGGATCCTGAGATAAGGGTGTGGGTGCAAGCAGTTGAGCCGGGAGGTGACAATCAGGGGTGACAAGGGAAGTAGGGAAGTAAGATGGTGAAAAAAGACACCCCCTCCCCAGGGCAAGCGATGCTGGGGCAGGTGGCAGCCGTGGGAGCCCGGGTCTGCTGGAGGCCAGGGTGGGCAGCACTCCAGAGTCCCTGCCCGGGGTGGAGGAGCCTGCTGTTTACAGCCAGGCCCTGGTGAGCTTGGGGCTGCTTCCTTAAGGAAACCAGGCATTAATTCTCTGTTGCCAGGAGCACTGGCCAGGCGGGGCTGGCCTCCAGGGGCAGCCCGTGGGTAGAGCTGCAGCCGGTGCGGCCCACAATGGGAAAGGTTAGGGCCTGGGATGGGACACCGCAGCCCCTGTATTGCAAACACCTTGCACGGACCCATGACAGCCTCCTCGTGCCCGGGCCTGCGGTGGAGAGAAGCAGAAGGCCTCTGGGAGCTAGAGCAGGGCTCCTGCCCAGTCTGAGAGATCCGGGAGGGCTTGCTAGAGGAGGTGCCGTTGGACCTGGCCTTGAAGGGTGGGTGGCAGCCGGCAGGGGGGAAGAGGGCACTCCAGGACGAGGGCAGCGCAGAGCAAGGCGAGGCCCGGGGGACCGGCCCCCGGTCAGCGTGCTCTGGGGCCTGCAGACCCTGATGGAGTGGATCAACGCCGAGCTCCTGCCCGAGCACATTGTGGTCCGGAGCCTGGAGGAGGACATGTTCGATGGGCTCATCCTGCACCACCTTTTCCGTAAGTAGCTGCCCCTCCCCCGCCACCTGCCCCCTACAGGGGGGCTCCTCGCCCAGCCTCATCCCCCGCTGCCGCCCAACTCCGGGGCAGCAGCTCTTGTTTGTTTCTGCTACATCTTGGGCTCTCCCACCCCGCACTCCCTTGCCAGCATTTATGTAGTGCCTGCTGTTTGCAGGCTGCTGGGGATGACAGACAAGCCTGCATTGACCCAGGGCCGGCACCCCACCCCGGCCGCTGCAGGGAAGGCTGGCCAGGAGATGACCCAGCAGCTCCAGGCTGGGAAGGCCCCACACGGCCGCCTCCTGGCCCCCGGGCCATCCCCACCGACCCCTCCCTTGGCTGATGTGAGGTCGTGTTGGTCTGAAGTCTGTCTTTTGCACAGAGCTGGGGGTGCTGGAGGGCGGGGGGGTCTGACTCTGGTCCTCGGGGAGCTGAGGGCCTGCTCAGCACGTTGACACACAGGGCTCCGGAGCAATCCCACAGCCTCGCCTAAGGCTCCCTGAACTGTAACCGTCGGGCAGGTGGGGTTCATCCCCAGAACCGGTCCACGCGGCTGCTGTCCCCATTTCACAGATGAGCAAACTGAGGCTCTTGCTCACAGTCTCACGGTCTCACGGTGAAGAAAGCAAGGGAGTGCGCTTTAACCACTGGCCACACTGCCCTTCAAAAAAGAAGTGGGGGAAGCTGCGGGGGTGGGCACAGGAGTGGTCAAAGTGAGGGGCGGGGCTTGCACAGGTTCCACCGCTGATGCGGGGCGCAAGGGTGGGAGCCAGGCTCTGCCTCCAGGAGGAAGCACCCTGGCTGTGGGTCCCCCTGCATGCAGAGTCCCATACGCTGTCTCCCCTCTCCCCGTCCTCCCCTTGCCTGCCCTCTCCCAAACGCAGAGAAGCTGGCAGGGGCCAAGCTGGACGTGGAGGAGATCGCCTTGACTGCTGTCAGCCAGAGGCGCAAGCTCGAGGCCGTCCTGGAGGCCGCCAACCGCAGCCTGAAGGGGGACGAGCAGCCGCTCAAGTGGAGCGTGGACGGTACCCGGGCCTCAGAGGGGCGGGGCGGGCCCGGCATGTGGGGCGGGGCCAGTGTGCGGGGCGGGGCCAGTGAGCCTGGGTTCTCCGGACTCGCCCACCTTGAGGGCTTGAAAGGAGGCGGAGCCGCAGGCAGGTGCAAAGAGAGCACAAAGTCATGCTCCCAACCGAGGAGCACGCAGCCCCTCCCCGAGGTGTCACGGCAGCAACACCAGCACGAGGGCGACAGGCAGCCTTTTCCATTACACGCCACTGTTACAGAGTTCCAGGCACCATGACTCGCCCGCCGGCCCTGCCGCGGGGGCCTCTCTTAGGCCCACCTCGTGCACTTACTTTGTTTATATTTGCAGGGCCTGCTCGTGAGACCTGAGGCCGTGCAAAGCACCCAGGTTTCTGCCCCCTTAACTGCTGTGAATTTCCTGCCATTCCAATCTCTGCATTCTCCCCATTTTCCCTATGAGCAAACTGAGGCTGAAAGGAGCTGTGTAGCTTCTCCAAGGTCGGGTGGCTGTGGTGTAACAGTGGCCACGCCCCCTTTGTTTTAAGCCGCCCGCCAGCGCCCTCACCCCTTTGTTTCAAGTCTCCCATTCAGGAACCAGTGCTTACAACCTTGACCCTGCGTTAAGTCACATTCAGCTTAAATCTCACGATTTGTCCAACCAGCGCCCTGCTGTAGGACAGAGTGCGCGGTCGTTCCCCGCTGTAAACGGCGCTTCGGAGAGCATCCCCATGTCTGACGCCGGGCGGGAAGGGGGGTGGGGTGGGGGGGGGCTGAGGCCTGGGCTGTCTGCAGCTGCAGAGACGGGATGCCTGGGCTAGGTCTGAAGGCAGATTTCCGGGCCTCAGCGCTCCAGCAGGCGGGACACCGATCTCCGTGGTCTGCTCAGGGTTGTCGTGACGATAAGGAGGCCTCCGTGGGGTCCCAGGTGTTGGCGGCCCCTCAGCTCTGACCTCGTGTCCCTCTCCCCTCCCAGACATCTTCGGCAAAGACCTGCTGGCCACCTTGCACCTCCTCGTGGCTCTGGCCAAGCGCTTCCGGCCCAACCTGCCCCTCCCCAGCAACGTGCAGGTGGAGGTGATCACCCTGGAGGTAAGGGCTGGGCGGGGCCCACTGCCTGGGGCGAGCTTCCCGGGGCCACATGGCCGCTCCCCGGATTGGGGGATAATGCGGGGGTCGGGGTGGAGCCAGGGATGTTCTAGAAACCCATGAGAAATATGAAACCGCACCAGGACAGCAGTGGGTGCCGGGCTGGGGCTGAGGGTGGGAGATGCTCCCCGGATTCCAGGGGAGCTGGCAGGGGCCCAGAGAGACCCCGCGGAGGTTGGTGACCAACCCCGCTTACATCAGCAGAGGGCGCCTGCCTGGGGCGTTACGGAGGTCCTGGCTGATGGCAGCCCCATCACGTGGGCCGTAGGTGGCCGTCTGCCTTTTGGGGGCCCTGCCACCAGAGTCCTAGCCACTGTCCTCAGCATCGTCTGTCCTCTGCTAGCCGATGGCCATGACAAGGATCCCGGGCTTTCCGCACCCTGAGGGGTGCTTGGTCTGGTACGTGCGTGGCTTGTGCTGTGGCTAAGGGCCAAGGGGTCCAGAGTCCACGACTCCTCTCAGACCCGGCACCTCAGGCGGGGCTCCGCCTGCTTCCCGTCTCCCCCCAGCCTCCGGGTGCCCGGGCAGCAGCGGGCGTCCCACCCCAGCGCTTGCCTTTAGCTTCGCTCAACGGCATAAACCACGTCCAGCCTGACTCAAGCAAATGGTTCTTACCGTTACGTACAGTGACCCCCTGAGCCGTCTCGTGGCTGTGTCTGTACTTCTGTAAATCAGAGGGGACTCCATTCCTTCACTCATTCACTTACCCACCCGCCTGCCCGCCCGCCCACTCATCCATCCACTCACCTCTCCACCCACCATCCACTCATCCACCCACCCACGCATCCAGTCACCAACCCACCCATCCCCTCGCCCACCCATCCATCCGTCCACTACTCAGATCAACTCGGTCATTGACTCCTGTGAACCAGGCACTGGGCGGACTCTGGGAATACCTGGGGAAGGAGGCCGACCCGGTCCTAGCCCACGTGGGCTCGAGGCCGTGGAGGAAGGACCGTGAGCCGATGATGGCCCAGGAGGCCCGGAGGAGCAACGCGGCAGGGTCTCCTGGGGACCCGGGCTGCCCGGGCCCCCACAGGCGGAGCAGCAGGCGGGGGCCCCACGGTTCCATCCTCGCTTTTCTCGCTTAGAGCACCAAGAACGGCCTGAAGTCGGAGAAGTCAGTGGAACAGCTCACCGAGTGCAGGTGAGGGACGCAGCAGGGGCCGGGGCAGGCGGGGGCTCTGTGGGAGTGGGTGGCAGGCCCAGGGCAGGCGCGGGGCTCTGTGGGAGTGGGTGGCAGGCTGGGGGGAGCGGGGGCAGACCTGCTTGGCCTTCGAGGTGGAGGTGCTCACGCTCTGCCCGTCATCCCTGCCCTGTGTGGGGCACCTGGGGCCCTTCCACCCGCCGGCCCTCACGGGCATGTGGAAAGGTGCCTGGTGGACTGAGCTCCGTGGCCCACTGCGCCCCCATGAAGCCCAGCTGGGAGAGTCCAGCTCTCCTGGGCTTGCGGGCCTGGCGGGCAGCTCCACCTGGGCCCACGCCCGGGCTCAGCCGGGCGTGAGCAGTGTGACCTTGGGCAGGTGACCTCCCCTCTTGGAGCCTCTTGCTCTTCTGGAAAATGGGGACCCGTTCCTACCTGTCGGGGCTGTTGTGAGAGTTAGAGATGCATGTGAGGTGACTCTCCCCCACCCCTGTACCCCTGAGTCCCGAAGTCCCCCCAGTCTAGGGCGCCTGGATTTCCACCAGAGAGTGGGGGTGGGGCTCAGACCTCGGTGGGTGAGGGCCGCCACTCCCCCAGCCAGGAGCTGAGCGCTCTGAGGGCCGGAGGAGGCAGGCCCGGCCGGCCCTCACGCCAGCGGGTTCTAAGCGCATGTGGCCCACTTAACTCTGTCCCATGGACACCCCTGGGGGAAGCCTTGCCCCCGCCCCTCAGACTGAGTGGGGCCAGGTGACCTCCCGCGGACCTGCTCTGAGCTGACTCCAATGAGGCTGGAGCTTCAGGGTCTGCGAATGAGTTTGGGGAGCTTGAAGGGGGGCGGTTGGAGTCAAGGACACTGCCTTCCTCCCCTCTTCATGACCCTAAGATCGCCCTCTCTGCCCCCTGAGCCCAGAAGCCGCTGTGAGCCCGCCTCTGGCTCTCGGCTGGTGCCCGACCCCCCAGGGACGTCTGTCCCTCTTGGCATCTGCGTCTGTGCTGAGCGCGGGCCCTGTTCCAGGCTGCCCTCTCCCCGCCCGGCGGCCAGCTCCCAGCCACCTGGCCCCGAGGGGGCTGGGCCTGCTTTGGGCTTCTAGGGGGCGGGGGTGGGGTGGAAAATATAACAAGGAAGTCAAAGGAAAACCAGTCAAAAGCTATAAAAACCCAGTGAAAGGAGCCAGACCCGCAAGAGCACATACTGTGTGATTTCATTTACACAGATTCCAGAACAGACAAAACTCAGGGACGACGTGGGAGAGCAAAACAGTAGCAATGTTTGTGGGGGGATGTGTGGGGGGATACGAGAGCACACGAGGGGGTGCCCGGAAGGCTCCATACCTCGTTGAGGGTGAGGACCACACAGGTGTGTAAAAATACACAAATTGTAAGCATAGGATTTGTGCATTTTACTGCACGTGGAATGCACTCCCTCCCCTCAAACGAAAGCGGCCACCCCCCAAACAACCAAGCCCCGGCGCGCGGCGGTGGAGGAGCCCCAGGGGCGGGTGCGCGCGGCCTGCTGCTGGCTCAAACTGGCTGCCTCCTTGCAGAGCTGCCCGGGAGAGAAGAGCTCCGACATCAACCTTGCCAGGGCCAAGTCTTGTCATGTTAAAAAATTACAAGTCTCAAGGTTTGTTAACTCTTTGTTTCCTTTTCTCTCCCCTCCAATGTCCCCCTTAGCACGGACAAGGACCAACCTTCAAGTGAGTACTTTTAAAACTTAAGAAAATCTATTTCTATTGGAGACGTGTTAAAACAGCGGTCCCCAACCTTTTTGGCACCAGGGACAGGTTTTGTGGAGCGGGGCGGGTGGAGCAGGGACGGGGCAGGAGGCAGAGCTCAGGCCGTAATACAAGTGAATGCAAACTGAGCCAAGCAAACCCTCACTCAGCGCATAGCTTTGCAGACTCACTTCTCTGCTCAGGGACCAGTACTGGTCCGTGGCCGGGGGTTGGGGACCTCTGTGCTCAAAACGCCATGGCTTAATTTCTGGTCCTCTCCCATTTCCTCTGCGGCCTGCGTTTGTATCTCGGCTTTCTTCTGGCCCCTTTGTGCCCCTGTCTGTCTCAGCATGGGCCTGGCTGCTCCTTCTCACGGCCCCGCTCGCATGGGTAGAGAGCTTTTCCATCCCCATCGGCAGTGACGATGGCGGTGCTGAGCCTGCGGGCTCTGGGACCAGAAGGCCTGGGCTCAAGCACTGACTCTCCCGTTGATTAGCCGTGGGCCCTTGGGAAAGCCTCTTGGTCCCTGGGTGCTTCAGTTTCCTCGTCTGTAAAACGGGATTCATAGGGGCACCCACCCCTTAGGCTGGTGAAGAGAGTGAAAAGGTAATCGGTAGGTGCGCTTAGCACCCAGCGAGCGCTCCGCGGTGATTGTCCAACATCGTGGCTGCTGCTTCTGTTGCAGAGCTCACCACCAGTTGGCTGACCGACCGATCCGGCCCTTCCTCCCTGCCCTCCCTCCTTCCTTCTTTAGTCAGTTAACCAGGCCAGCCCTTCGTCCATCCGTCCATCCATCTACCCACTTATCTGCCCACCAATCCATCCATGCGCCGTCCACACATCCATCCATCCATCCCTTTTATCCGTCCGTCCACCACCCACCCGTCCGTCCACCACCCACCCATCCATCCTAACATTATCTTCCCTCCCTGAATCCTCCCCACTTAGGACACAGGCCTGTGAGGGTGGGGGTTCTATGGGGGGCACCTCCCCTGCAGAGCTGGAAATAATGACCTACAAGGGGCTTCTAGGACAGGGGAGAGGCCGGCGGAATGGGGGGGCAGGGATGGCGGATGTCTGTGTGTGCAGGGGCAGCATACGGGCACGTGGGGCTGCCCGCCGAGCAGTGTTTGCTGGGGGGACGGCGTGAGGACAGGTCACATGGTAAGGGGCAGGGGCCCGGAGCAGGGCCTCCTCAAAACCATTTCTAGCACATTCACCCTGTTCTGGCCTGTTTCACCCGAGCACACATTTGCCTCCTATTCCTGTCTCCCTCGGTGACAATTTCCCTGACCATAGGTCAAGAAGGGACACATGTCTGTGCCATGATTATCGGTGTACGGGCTTTTCGGCGTGCGCAGTGCTGCCTGGTGCCACTCTCGCATGCTCGCTAATGAAGGAACAGACCGGCACAGAGAAGGGAGTGATTTGCTTGGGGTCACACGGCCGCCGCTTGGCAGAGTCTAAAGGTCTCTTCTCCCACCCAGTTTGCGTGCTCAGAGCCCGAGGACCAGCCTCCCCAAGGGAGGTGCGGCAGCTGCAGGTAGTAGCAATGTGGGCTGCGGAGAGACGGCGTGGGCCTGGGGACTCCGTGGCTGAGGCAGCACCGGAGCCTGAGCTGCCGAGGTGCTGTGCTGCTCCCAGGCTCCTCGGCGTGACTCGGCTGTGGAGGGTGCTGGCCGTCTGTGCCCAGACGCCTGGGAGGGCTCTGTGCCCTTGATCTGCCACCCCAGGCACCCGCAAGGGGCCTCGCGGGCTGAGTGTCAGTCCGGGGCTGGCCCCAGCTCGCCGCCTATGGCAGCTCCAGAGGATGTGTGGGTGGAGCGGGTCCTGGGAGCTCCCACGGGGAGGGGTGGCGGCCGAGCGCACAGAGTGCCCGGCGTCCCCGCAGAAAGCAGGACTGGTCATCGAGGTCCTGCTGCGTGCCTGTCCCCCAGGCCCGCTCTGACCTTTGCAACGACCCTGCCTGGCAGGTGCTGTCAGTCACGCTTTACAGGGGAGGAAACCGAGGCACAGAGGGGGCGGTGACCGCCCCCCAGCCAGGGAAGCGGTGACTTAGACCCAGGCCTGTTTTTAAATTCAAGAAACCTGAGCTAAAACTACAGTTCCCTCTGGACTGGTTACTTAGAGAAACTTTTGTGGAAAAAAGTCCCTGTTTGGCTCTGAACCGATAGCGTTGTAATGAGGTGTTTATTGGGTCTGTCTGCAGGAGACCCCTTTGATGAATTATTCCAGCTGCATCCGGAGAAAGTGAAGGTCGTGAAAGAGGTGAGGGAGACCCGGCGCTCAGCACCGCCGCCCGCGGGCCACCTGCACGGGCCTTGGGGCACAGGGGCAGGAACAGGGCCCCAGGCCCCACCTGCCACATGTGGGGCAGGGGGAGGGGCGGGGCTTTCTGACCCCCGAGTGGGAAGGCCGCAGACCGGAGCCAGGGGTCCGCGTTCTTTCCTGGGTAGGCCATCGTGACCTTCATCAACCAGAAGATGGAGCACCTGGGCCTGTCCGTGCAGGATCTGGACACGCAGGTAGGGGCTCGGCGGTGGGGTCCACTGGCAGGGGACAGCTGTCAGGGAGGAGGGCCAACAGGGCACTGGGGGTCGGCCTTGCCTTGTGTGGCCTGGCGGGTGGGGGTGTCACATCTCAGAACCTTAGGGTCCTCTGCCCCAACTGGGGGTGTTGCTGGCAGGCAACATCGCTGACCAGGGACACTGTGGGGGTCCCGTGAGATGGGGACCCGCTTTACAGAGGAGTTCGTCAATGCTGTTCTTACTTTTCATTGTAAAATAACCACCAGACACCAGGCTCAAAGCACATGAGCATTCCCTGTGTTACTGTGTGCCCCACGGTGTTAATGAGGTTTGCACCTCATGCCTGGTGTGGCAGGTGCTGACACAGCCCTGTGGCCGTGGGCTCCCAGCAGCTGACATGTACCAAATCTCCTGGGGCAGGGACAGAGCCCCCAGGCCAGCATTTCCTAGTGGGCGTGGCTTTCCATGAGGACGGCGGCCCGGTGCCCGCCTGTTCCCTCGACACAGGGGCGTCAGGAGAGCTGAGAGGCAGATCGCCAGCACGTGGGCCAACGGGGAGGAGGCATGAGCGTGGGCCGCCTGAGCTGAGCTCATGCAGCGTGGCCAGGGTGAAAGGTCAAGTCCGGCCCCAGGTGGACTGAATGGCTAACGGCAGCGATCTTAGCCGGAGCTGCTGACTTCTCAGACACACCCTGACGTCAGCCAGTGAGGGCGGAGCTGCCCTTCCTGAGCCCGGCAGCCTGAGCCCGCAAAGCCTTCACTGTGCGCCAGGCCCCGAGCAAAGTGCTCTGCCACACATCAGCTCCTGGAGGCCTCCCAGCGATACCCTGAGTGGGAGACTGATGCTCCCCATTTTACAGACAAGCGCATGAAGGCAAAGACAGGCTCAGTGACTCACCCCGGGTCCCACAGTGACGTGTGGCCCTGGGATGGGAGCCCCAGCCTGCTGAGGCCAGAGCTGGTGCTCGTCACCATCTCGCACGGCCACCGGGGAAGTCTGCGTGGGAGATGGCGCGGGGACGTGGCAGGGGGGAGACATCCGGTGGCACGTGTCGCCCCCGGGCTCCGAGGACACCTCCACAGTGGCTGTGCGCCCTTGGGCCTGGGCTTCTCTGAACCTCAGGCTCCTCTTCTTTGGAAATGGGCATGAGGATACCAGCCTCCCAGAACTGCAAGCAGCGAATGAGATAACGACCATGTGGTGCGTAGTCTGTTACCTGGCACAGCACACAGTGAAGTCACGTTTCGTTACGTTGAATGTGAGCACAGACAGGATGATTTCTTAGGTCACACCCCACCTGTTTCCTCCTTCTCCCTCCGCTGGTAAAGCCGTGGCGTTTGGGGGTGGCGGCACGGATGGGGATGGCGGTTAGAGGGGCTGGATAAAAGGGGCTCTTGGAGTCCCTGGTATTTTGGTGGCGTTACGGGGTCAGAACAGCCAAAAAGGTTTCAGGGAGGACAACATCGGTGAGGGCCTACCGTGAGAAATTGCCTTTGAGGTCTTCGAGCGGCGGTTTCCCTCCAATATCCGATCTTGTGTTTTGCACCTTTGAAGAGATGCGATCGGGTTCTATCAGCAGAGGCCGTCCGGAGCTGGAAGGCGGCTTTATCTCTGAGCCCACAGACGGAACAGGCAGAAATATTAACGCAGCGGCCGGCAAAACAAGCCATGCTCCTCTGTGACTTTTCCTGATGGAATAATTTTACACTTAACTCCGTTTTCTCTTGTGCTCCGGTAGCTCACAGGCCAGTACGTGGTCAACACAATGACAGGGGGCAGGTTCACAGGAAACAGAACCCGGAGCCTTTGATTGGGCCCCTCCCAGGTGCCAGGCAGCCGGTGGCCGCTTTGTGCTTGCCCCGGCCGGTTTCCAGCGGTGCTTCGGGGCCAGGGATGCCGCGCTCTTTCTCAAAGAGGAAGCTGAGACTGGGAGAGGCGGTGTGACCTGCAGGGGCCACGGGCCTGTGGGGGGCAGCGCGGGGTCCCGGGCCGTGGGCCTCACAGCCCTCCTTTGCAGCTGGCAGACGGCGTCATCTTACTGCTGCTGATCGGACAACTGGAGGGCTTCTTCCTGCACTTGAAGGAATTCTACCTCACGCCCAGCTCCCCTGCGGAAATGGTAAGTTTCTGAAGATATTCCTCGTGATCTGCTTCTGAGCGGACCAATCCATGGTATCGGCACGACCCGCCCTTATCTATTCACTGCCAGGTGAAATGAAGGGTGGGGAGGAAGTTTGTTTGCCTGCGTGTCTGCTCACCCGTCCACCCGTCCACCCTGACACCTGTCTGTTGACTGGCCCACTCACCCATCTGCCCGATTCATTCGCCCCGTCACCTGCTGCCCATCCATCCCGCTGTCCGCTCACCTGCCAGCCGGCCAGCCAGCCATCCTGCTTTTGCGATCTCTCGGTCTCTGCCCCTGTGCGCTCAGTGACACCTGGTCTTCCAGGGCCACGGCGAGGCCTGTTGGCTCCTTGTGGGGGGGCCAGCGAGGGATCTGAGGGAAGGGCGGTTAGTATAACCTGAAGAAATCAGGAGAGACATCGTGTAAGAGGTGACCCGTGACACTGAGGAGGGTTTGGTCTGCAGTTAACCGGGGCGGGGGGCCAGGGGCGGGAACAGTGCCCGCAGAGGCTCAGCGGTGGACTGAAGCACGGGTTCTGGGGTGGTGGCCTGTGGCTCCCCCTGCGCGGGGACTGGCCACGGTGGCGGGGGGCTGGCCTTGCGGCAGTCGCTCTGTGGGCCCTGCAGGCTGGGGGGTGGCTGGGACTCCGTCCAGGCAGGGTCTGTGGCCTGACCTGGAGCTGCTGGCAGGGCGAGCCTCCGAGCGCCATCTGACAGCCTCAGAGCCTGGGGGCTGGGGGCGGGGGCTCCTGCCGCTCCCCACCTCTGGGCTCTTGCACAGGCTGTGTCCTGCCAGAAATGCCCTTTCCACCTGAAATACCTGTCCGTGAGAGCGTCCTCACCCCGCCCCAGCCAGGAAGCTGAGGCCCACGCACAGTAATGGGTCCCCCGGCTCTGTGCCGGGGTGGATGTGGCAGCGCAAGGAGAGGCCTAGGCTCTGGCACCTTCTCCGCCACCGGCTCAGTGCCTGTACCTCAGGCTCAGCTGGGCTCCATCGCTCGCCCGGGGCTGGCTGGGGAGCAAGCCCTGTTGGCGGGGTTCAGCTGCAGCAGGTAGCTCTGTGCCTGGTGCTCCTCGTCCCCGTCCTGGGACCGGCGGTGAGCCTGGAGTGGCTTTCTCATGGCGATGGCAGAGGCGGCACAGGGGACCAAGCGGGACACGGGCCGGGGCCCAGAACCGGCAGGCGGGCATACCGCCTCACGCTGCTGGCCAGAGCAGGCCCTGCGGCCTCGGCGGGGATACAGGAGAGCCCTGTGAAGTGTGTGGGTGCCAAATCGGGGCCCATGAGGGGCCTCCCTCAGGCCTGGTGGGTCTCCCACTTGCTAGCTCCTCCCCGCGTTGGGCCCCTGAGTGAGGGAGGCCCCACCCCCGTTTCCATAGGCGGAGGCAGAGTGCAGGGGTCCAGGGGTCCAGTCGAGAGCGCACGGCTGGTTCGGGCGGAGGTCGGAGGGGCACCCAGGCTTGTCTGCCTCTGGCGCCAGAGCTGCCTCCCCATTCGCCTCCTTCCCGGGGAGCTGGCGGGCTCCCTCGGGGACGGAGGGGCGTAGCCTGTCTGTGGCCGACAAGGCTTGCCCCCCAAGCTGCCGGGCCAGCGCAGGGATGCAGGAGGGTCCGTGCCGAGGCTGGACCCCGCAGACAAGCCCCTGCCACGTGAGCAGTGAGAGCAGAGGGAAGAAGGACAGGGCAGGACGCACACAGGCTGAGACCCACAGCAGCACAGGGGTCCCCTCTGTGTGACTCGGGTGCGGAGGGGACATCTAGGCCCTTGCTCGATACTTTGCGCACTTCCCAACCCCAGTTACGAGCTGGGGACAAATGTCCCCATGCAGCCTGCTGGCCGAATCCCCCGATTTTAGAACCAGCTTCCAAAGACAAGCCACTGTAAACATCTTGTCTGAGAGATGAGGGCAGGGGTGGGGGAGGCAGCCTCTTAGCTCTGACCCCAGGAACGAATGCGGTTGGTAGATTATCGGAAACCTCGGCTGTGGGACCGTATGCTAAACGCGGCTGTTCGTTGAAGAGGGCCCTTTCCGAAGGTGGGACACCGAGGAATTGTTACCTGGCACCGTGGCCTCATGAAATCGGGCTGGTCATTAGCAGGCCCTCCTTGCCGACAGTGTTCGTGTGAGATGCCAGGTAGAGATGTTGGGGATGGAGGGAGGCAGACCGTCTGCTCCGCGGAAATCAGAGCACCGGAGCCGGGAAACTTGCTTCCGCCCACGTTCAACGATCCGTCCCCTGAGGATGGAACGCCTCCTCCCAGGCCGTGACCTTCCCGCAGCTCGGCGGAACTCAGCATTTTCACCTTCATCATCGCAAACTGGGCTCGGAAGAAAAATGATACTTCGGGCAGAGTGTGGCGGGGCAGTTCTGGAGCCTGGGCGGCTCCTCCTGGCTCAGCCTGTGGCCATCAGCCTGAGCATGATGAACAGAAGCGCGTGCGACCCTTCTGTCGAGTCGCTCGCAGCAATTCTCCAAGCACAAGCGGCGGGGGCCGCAGCGGGTCTGCTCTGCCCTGTTGCGAGGCCCGTGCGGCGCCGATGCTCCATCGCTGTTTTAGAAAGTAACAAATGGATGGAGTGATTCCCAAACAGTGGTCCCCTGGGGGCCCCCGAGACAAATGGACCTGACAGTCAAATAACTTGGGAAAACAGGTGTCGCCTTGGAGGTTCCTAATACACCATCCCGTGTTCAAGGCTCTGAGGAGTCCTGCAGGGGAGGACTTCTGTGGTGCTGTGTTTACGCCAACACCGCCCCCGACGGCTCCGTCCCAGACGCTTTCCCATCTCCATGCCGCTGGCGCTGGCGCCATCAGAGGCAGGGCTGCGAGGAGGCGGGAGGGCGGGCTGGCTCCTTCTCACTCTGACCTTGACCTCCCGCGACCCCTGTGAAGAGTGTTCGCGAGACTGTAGACAAGGGCGACCACCGTCACCTCGTTCTCCAGCATCCTCCAGTGTGGGGAGGAGACCCGGGGACCCAGCTACGGCACCAGGCAGGGAGCTCGGATCTGCTCACTCTGAGATGCCCTTATGTCCCCAGAGGTGTCCCCCCCACCCCCCGCTTGGGACCAGGTGGCAGCTTTTGCTTCTTCCTGGCCAGCCACAGAGGGGACGGCCCCGCTGGGCCGCGGACCCTGCCGCTCCCACTTGCTCGCATCCGGGACCAACCCCAGTCAGCTGCCCTGTCCACCTCATGCTCCGACATCAGCTGTCCCCAGCGGAGAAGGACCTGCTCACTGTGCCCTCCAGGTCCCAAGGAAGGGCTGCCTCGTGGCGCCAGGCAGCCCCCTCCCTGCTGAGCCAGCTGCCGGGAGGACGCGGCAGGAGCCCTTCCGGGGGCCGGAGATGCTCCCTGGACTCTGCCCCGGGCCCTCGGCCAGGACTGTGACCCACCCTCATCTCCCGGTGGGCGCGTCCCTTCCCGGGGACTCTGAGCACTCCCTCCCTCCCGCCCTGCCTTCCCGTCCCCTTGGGCCCAGCCGGCGGCCATGGAGCAGCAGGCTGCTGGAAGGCGGGCTGTTTCCCTGGTGCAGATGGGGGGCTGAGCCAGCCAGGATGTGGGCCTTGCCTGACCCGGGACTTTCGGCCTGGTGGGGCCGATGCACAGACATCTCACCCACATCTCGAGACCCCTCCCGCCGGGTGACCGGAGGCGGCCCAGGTGGTGCTGGACTCCTGCGCGGGCCTGCTCTGTCCCTGCGCTGGTTGCCATGGGAACTGCCTGGCATGTGGGAAGCAGGCTGTGGGGCTGGGATGGCTGGCCACCTGCCGGGGATGTCCTGCCCCCCAGAGTGGACCTTTGGGTGGCTGAGGCCATCAAAGGAAGGACGTGCTTGAAGTCCCAGTGAGTCAGGGGCGCAGCCAGCTCTAGACCTCGCTCCTCCCACGCCCCCCACACCCTCTCTTCCTCCCACTCCAGGCGGCCGCCCCACGTAGAAGGTGGGCTCTGTCTGGTGGTGTCTGAGACCCAAGGCAGAGGCTAGATGTGGCAAAGGAGGCGGCCCTCCCCCAACAGAGGGTCTTCTCTGAGGCCAGGGACAGCAGGGCTCCCTACCCCATGTCCCGTATCGAGTACGGGGGTGGCGGCGGTGGCCCCGCTCTACAGGGGAGCAAGGGGGCAGCCTGGGGGCGAGCGGCTTGCTCGAGGTCACCCCGTGACCAAGTGGGACCGAGGCCCCGGTGGCCGGGGCAGGGGTGACCCCTCCGGCCCCCTCCCTGCTTTGTACAGGCATCACAGTGACACTGACGTGGTTCCAGCACTTTCCGTCTCGTGACGTCGGATAAGCCACTTGGCCACGAGGAGCCTTGGTTTTCTTATCTATGCTTTGCCTATAAAACCGAGCTGGTCTGAGGGGACCTGTCACCACGGGTCAGGGGCGACCTCCGAAGAGGTCAGGGTGAACCCATGCGCCTACGCCTGGCTGAGTCCCTCCCCTCCGGTGGACTTACCTCCAGGCATCACCTCCACCAGGGAGCCCTCCTTGACCCCCAGGTTGGGTGCCCTCCTCGGCGATGGCATTTCCACCAGAGGCAGCCTCCCTGATGTATGGCGAATGTCCCGGGTGAGGGGTGAGGCTGCCACCAGGGGACCAGGGCCTGGCCTGGGCAACCGCACTTTGCCAGCGTCTGATGGGGCCTTGTTGTTACAGCTACACAACGTCTCCCTGGCCCTGGAGCTGCTAAAGGACGAGGGCCTGCTTGACTACCCCGTCAGCCCTGAAGGTGAGGGCACCCTTTCCCTCGGGCGGCAGCCCAGGGCGGGCTGTGTGGCGGGGGTGGGGGGGTGAGGTGGAGCATGCGTGTTGGTGCGTTCTCTTGGCATGGGTGCATAGCATTTACTGAGGCTTCCTGGGATGGCTTCCACCCACCCCGGGGTGGAGGGAGGGGTCCCAGGGCGAGGAGATGGGGGCCGGGTCCCCAGGGACGGGCCTCTCCAGAGAGGCAAGCCCTTGAGGCGTTTCTGCACCACACGAGGGGCACAAGGGAGGACTGGGCGGGAGGCGGGAGGCAGGAGGCAGGGCCGGGTGGGGTTCCGGGGACTCAGGCCCAGCATGACCAACGGCCCGGCTCGCCAGGGGTTTCTGGAGTGAGCACTGAAGCCCCGTGTCCCGGGAAACCCCTTGGTCCCAGGCACACAGGGACCGTTGGTCACCCTCCCCCGCCCAGTCCTGACTGGCTTCCCTGCTCTCCTCTGGCCGCAGACATTGTCAACAAGGACTCCAAGAGCACGCTGCGCATCCTCTACAGCCTGTTCCGCAAGCACAAGCTGAAAGACACCGCGGACAGGGTGCCCCGTGGACCCTCACATTAGCCGACTGCCCCCAAAGCCGCTTCTCCGCGGCCTCTCCGGGCCAGCTGCCGCCCCCGCCCCGGCCCCCAGCCGTCTCCTGTTTCCACCTGCCCGACTGTCTCTAAACCTGCTAGGCGTGGATCCGTTTTGAGCCAACCTCTGGCCTCGCTTAGTTTATTTTAACAAATGTATTTCTGGGAGGGGTTCGGGGAGCCTGCCAGGGCCCGGGAAGGGCCACCACATGTGCATGAATATGAGGGACCCCGCACGCAGCTGTCCTCCCCGGGCGCCGGGTGCGGGAGGTGCCGGCCCCCAGGGCAGCCAGAGCCCGGGCATGCGGCCTTCGCTCGGGCTTGAGGGTCCGGTTCTGAGGGCAGGGCTGAGGGCCGGAAGTCCCAGCCCACCCGCACGCCGCCGCCGCCGCCCGGGGTGATGGTCCCCAGGTCCCCATCCACTGGCAGGCTTTCACTAGCCCCGAGCCACGCGGGGAGGTTCACTCAGTTCCTTGCCGAGGAACCGGGGCCCAGCCCACCCCCGTGGCTAACACTGGGGCTTTGCTTAAGTGCCACAGGGAAAACCTCTGCGGTTGCTCAGCGGCCCGTCCCCAGGGAGGTGTCCGATGCCCTGGGTCCTCCTGACACCGCTGGCTTGGCGACCCTCCGGCCGACTGTTTTCTGTCGCCCCCCCGCCCCCCCAGGCTGAAAGCCCAGCGCCTTTCCAGGACTTTCTGATGCTGTCCGCCGGGCCTGAGCTGCCCTCATCCCCCCCCACAACCCCCAGGAGCTCGCCGCTCACAAGGACAGGGGCTGCCCTTGAGGAGCACATGGAGGAGGGACTGTCCCGAGGGGTCTGGGTGCTTGTGGGCGGGCGGAGCAAATGCTCCCACAAAGGAAACTGAGGAGGGGACTGCCAAGTCCGCCCTCCGGGCGGACACCACCCTGGCTCTCCCTGGCTCCCCGCCCTTCCTGAGAAATCTGACGCCCGCTGAAGTTGCCTCCGAAGTTGGAAGCAGGATATTTCCAGTGGCCTGAGCTGGCAGACGTCCAGGGCCGGGAAAGAGCTGGCAGGCGGGCTGGGTGTGCAAACAGCCTCGGAGCCCCGGGAAATGCCTCGAAGGCGGGCGTGCCTCCCAGCGGAGCCTCTTCCCAAAATAACCCAGGGGGCAGCTGTCTCGAATTCTGAAACTGGGTCTGGCTGCCGGAGCGGCGGGAAGCCCCAGGCCGCACAGCAGCTCCGCTCAGGGAACAGATGGCATGACGGATATTTTTTTCTTTTACCAAAGTCAGCGGGGAGGCGAACAGCTTGCCTCCAGAGAAGTGGGTTCCTCCTCCTCTCTCTGCGGTGACAGAGAGAGGCTGCCACCTCCCCTCCCACAGCCCTGCCCTCAGCGTCTCCTTCCTTGCGAGGCCCGGGCAGCCTTTCCCACCCCGCGGCTCATGGGGTCCTCCCCCTCCGGCAGGTTTGCCCGGGGGCACCCCTGCAGGCCCCTCCGTTCTTGAGGCCTGGATGAGCGAGGGCAGCAGGCTGAGAGGCCTGGTTGGTGGGAAAAGGGACAGTGGGGATGTCCCGGAGAGGATCCTTCCACAAAGAGCAGCCAATGACCTGGGTGGCTCACAAGTGTGTGAACTCATTCCTTTATCCATAAGCGTTCAAATCAATTGATACGCTTATGGCCTATAAAGGCACCAATGCACAGGTGGGCGTTTACGTCCCCGCAAGCCCTCGTGCCCACGCCTCTCCTCGCAGACCCTCCCCGAGCACCCACTGTGTGAAGGCCCGGGGTTTGCAGCTGAGGACGTGGCTCAGGGGCAGGCTCGGGCCGCAGCGGGGGCCGCTGGGCGGTGCAGCGCTCGGGCGCGAATCTGGGGTGATGCCCCGGGCGCCTCCTCCACGGGCTGCATGACCCTGAGTCAGCCACTCCCCTCCCTGGGCCTCAGCTTCCCGCTCCCCCCGCCGCAAGGACGCTGTGGGGACCTCCTCCGCGCCGGGTTATTATGGAAGCCAGAAAGGAGGTTCCATTGAAAGAGCCTGAGCCGTTGCTGGGCGCTTCGTGTTCAACAATGTCAGACGACGTCACCATCACTGTCATCATCACCATTGCCGCGGTCACTGTCACCATCATCACCATCACCTTCATCGCCGTCACCATCATCACTGTCACCATCATCACCTTCATCACCGTCACCATCATCACCATCACCTTCATCGCCGTCACCATCATCACCATCACCTTCATCACCATCACCATCATCACCATCACCTTCATCACTGTCACCATCATCACCATCATCATCACCGTCACCATCATCACCATCACCTTCATCACTGTCACCATCATCACCATCACCTTCATCGCCGTCACCATCATCACCATCACCTTCATCACTGTCACCATCATCACCATCATCATCACCACCGCCATCCCCGTCACCAACACCCCCATCACCCCCCCATGATCTAACATCTGAACCATTTAACAATGGAATGAACCCCTCACTAGTGGTGAGCTCCCCATCGTTAGTGGTATGCAAGCAGTAGTTGGAGGAGCACTTGTCAGTGCATGGGAGGAACAAAAGCAGGAGGTAGAACTCAAGCTTAGCACCCCCTCTGGTCCCCTCTAAGGCTTTGACCTTCCGGCACGCCCCTCCCTGTCCTGCCGCCATCTTTCTGTGAGATGCTGGGTGATGTCCTTCCGCCCTCTGGGCCCCGTCTCCCCGCAGTTCTGAAAACAAGAGGTGCAACATCTATGTGGCTGAACACCCCCGATGGAGGAGGCTGCAGAAGGAAAGGCTAATATTTATTCATTGTCACATTCAGAAATTAGAGCGGGAGCCACAAATAGACGTTCCTAAGAGGAGCGTCTGGCCCTGCCTCCTGGGCTCGGGCTGACGATTCCTCACAAAGTCCTGACTTGCTGCCTCCGCCACTGGGGTTTGGCTTGAATGTTTGCCAGCCACTGGGTTTTTTCCTGAGGCTGTTAATACAAAGGCGGGCGGGGGAGGGGGTGTCTAACGACAGCAGTCAGGATGTTCTTTTCAAAGGACCCATCTGAGCTCTGAGCCGCTGCGCGGTCCTGGGCGGGGCTCACCCTCCTTTTGGAGTTGGGGGGTGCAGGGCAGAGCCAGGGAAAGTTGGGTGAGGGTGGGCGCGCCTGTCTGGCTGGGTCCCTGCTGTGCGCTGGGCCCTGCCCATCAGTGCCTGCCTGGGAAAGGTGTTCAGTCCATGTCCCGCCATCCACTCTTTCCTCAGCATTCAGGCATCTGTCTTCATGGAAGTCTTGTCCCTACTTCTTCTGCCCTCTTGCTCTGTCTCCTTCCCCTCTTGATATCAAAGCTCCTTGAAAGAGCCCAACTTGCCCTGGCTGGTGTGGCTCTGTGGACTGAGTGTCGGCCTGAGAACCAAAGGGTTGTTGGTTCGATTCCCAGTCAGGACACATGCCTGGGTTGTGAGCCAGGGCCCCCGTAGAGGGCATGCAAGATGCAACTGCACATTTATGTTTCCCTCCCTCTCTTCCTCCCTTCCCTTCTCTCTAAAGATAAAATAAATAAGATTTATTTTAAAAAGAAGAGCACAACTCCTCCCCGTCTTGTTTGACTTCTCTCCAGCCCCCCCAACAAGCTCCTTGTCCCCGTAGATTCCCCAAAACTGCTCTGAGTGAAGTCACAGGCCCCCAACCCAAAGTCTAGAGTCATGGGCCAGACCTCAGCGCCCTGACCTGGCAGAGTGAGCAGCACCTGACCGGGGAGTCCCCCATCCCCCGCCGCCCTCTCCTCCCCAGCTCCCGGGACCCCTGCACGGGGCTGCCGCTGCCTCCTTACGGCCTTGCTGGTTCTTCCCGTCTCCTTGGCCCGAACGTGTTGGAGCGTCCCAGAACTCAGCCCTTGGGTTGGGTCTCCTTATATGAGCTCCCTTAGTGACCTTGCCTCGTGGCTTTAACCACCACGGAGATGCCAGCGACATGCGCGGTGTACCTGGAAGCTGGGCCTCCGCTCTCACCTCCAGCCAGGTCCCCACCTACCCGCGTGACGTTGGGGCTGGATGTGGGAGCCGCCTCCTCTGAGGCTCAGCACGCGCACCGCTGACCTCCCGACCGCCTCCCGGCCTCCCCGTCTTGGCTGGCGGCTGGCGGTGGCCCTGTCTCAGGCCCGGAGCCTCGCATCCACACACACTTCCTCTTTCTCTCACCCCCAACCCCACCCGACCTGTCAGGAGATTGTGTTGGTTCTTCCTCCAAAGTGATTCGAGCATCTGACTGCATCTCACCACCCGCCCTGCTTTCATCTGGGTACGAGCCACCATTATCCTCGCAGCTGGGCTGATCCAGCCATGGATCGAGCCCTTAAAATCATTAAGCCAGAGCATGTTACTCTTTGGTTCAAAACCTTGCAAAGGCTTCCACGCTTCACCTGAAATACCAGCCAAGGTCCTGGCAGGGGTCTACAAGGCCCGTTTACTTTGACTCCTGTGCCTTCTAGCATCGCTTCCTCTGCCCCGCCCCCCGTCCCTGCCGTTGCCATGCTGTGAGGAAGCCCAAGCACCCGTGTGGAGCAGCCCCCGGGGGAGAGCTGAGGTCCCCACCCGACCGCCCCAGCTGAGCTCCCAGCCCGTCACCAGCATCAACGGCCAGCCACGCGAGGCAGGTCATGCAGAACCCCCGGTCATCCCAGCGCCCAGCCCACACCCCATGAAGCAGGGAACCCGTGTCCTCAGCCTGCAGAATTGTCACAGCAAGTGGCTGTGGGTGTTTTAAGCGACTGAATTTGGGGGTGGTTTGTTATACAACAATAAATAGCCTCAACAACTGTCCAGCCGAGGACGTCGTCTTGAAAGGTACTGGACTGACGTGAAGGCACACGGGCGCGTATTTATGTGCGAGTGACGCGCGGTGTTGGCACAGGCATGGCTCGCTCTGCAGACGTCCTTGTATGCCGCTGTCCTGCTGCGCTCGGCTCCTCTTCTCCCTCCCACACACGCACCCCAGGCCCCCAGATCACGCTGCCTCGTTGTCTGAGCCTGAGCCTGAGCGCTGAGCCTGCTCTCGTGGATTGATGTCTACGGACACGCAATGTCCGGTGGGGG